ATTGTACCGAAGCCAAGCATGATTACTTAAATTAGCGACTTTCGTAACAAGCAAGCAATATATCAGATTTGTGAGAAAGTACATAACCTTTTAATCAACTTTTTCATCTCTATATCAATTGAATTAAGAAATCTATAAAAAAGATGCAACTAACGCAATTTTGTCGTTGCTTTACAAAATGGTTTACACGTTTTGAGTTAATCTATATTATAATAAAACTGTAGACGTCGAATGTCTGTACATAGAAAAAAATGCTAAAAACCGAGTCCGGGGGATGTAAGAAGACAAATAGAACAAATACAGATTTTTTTCAAATTTTTTGTTTCTCTGTCTGTTTGTCTGTTTGTACGGGCTAATCTCCGAATCTATTGGACCGATTTAAATGATATTTTGCATAGTGGTACCTTATATCCGCGGGCAACATCTTAGATACTTTTCACCCCGGAAAATTAAAGATTTCTCGTGGGATAGTCAAAAAACTGTAGTAACTTATACAGCTTAGTACACAACAACTTATGCATCTAAATTAGTAAAATTTAGCATGCTAATACCTTATATTGCCGGTCAAACAACAGGTTACTTTTATCCCGGAAAAATGTACGGTTCCCGTGGGATAGATCTGTTTGTGCTTTTCTAGAGGCGAACCCGAGCGAAGCGAGGATGATAATATAGTGCAAATAGTTGAAACAAAAACCGTGTCGTATATTATTTATTGTATAGATAGAAGATATATCGTGTATAAAATATGGCATTAATTATTTCAACCGTTATAAATCATGTTTTTATTTTTCAAGATAGCGAAGGCATTAGTCATTATTTTTTTATATATATAATCTAAACAATAGCGTATTTTACAATCCATTTGTTTTTAAGAGCTTCATTAACTGACCACAAACGTACAGAGAAAGGCCGGAAAACTATAAATCTTTCCACACAAGCGATCGTGAAAGGTGATAATCGACGTTGGGAAATTAGCTACACTTTCAAAGCTCTAAAATCTCTATTTGCTTTATGACAATAGCTTAACTTAACCAAACATTGGCTTACGCAATGCAGGTAGGTATTCGTATTTGTGTTGGATTTGATGATATACATATATTAATTATAAAGTGGCTGGATTTGATAATATATATGAATGAACTGCCTCTGTGGTCTAGTGGCTAGCGTGTACAGCTGCAGATCTAGAGGTCCTGGGTTCGGGTCCCAGTTCGGGCCAAGTTAAATTACTGAGTTCTTCTGTTACGATATTCTAAGTAGTAGCCCAGAGTTGGAAAGTTGGCGGTGTTGCACCCCCGTGCCTCGGAGAGCATGTAAAGCCGTCCGTCCTGCGCCTGTGTCGAAGTACCTATCGTCCCATAAGACTTTGAGAATAAAAGGAATAAAGTGAGATTTGTGTCTGCGCGTACGTACTTGTGCACATTATCAACAATATCTCCAACTCATCTGGCTAGTCTCAGTAAGATTGCCTGTCAGGTAGGCATTATAATTATCATAAAATTCAGTTAATTCAACTATTACTTTATTATCATTTACATTATTGACTTTTAAACTCCAAATACAAGTTACAATACGTATATTGGCAGCTACTGTAACCACAAGACATATTGACTCTTCAAGTACTAGATATTTACACATGTGTTTGTAAGTACATAATATGTATGTTTTTAAATAACGTAACTGCGTCGTCACGAGGAAGCGGAATGAAACAAACTTCAAGTCGTAAGTCGTGAGAAATGGGCGTGTTCAAGAAAGCAGGTTGATAGCGCATAATCATTGTTAACAAGTCTTATTTATCTTGGCAAACTTTTTATTCTATTACCCCATTTATCGTAATGGGTAAATATTGACATGAAATCTCTGGATCTATTGAACCGATTTAGATGAAATTTAGTAAGAAGATAGTTTGAGACCCTGGGAAGGACATAAGATACTTTTTATCTCGGAAATCATCCCTTAAGGGGATGAAAGTTTGTATTGGGAAGCAAGCTATATAAATATATATAAATAAAAAAGAAACAACAAACAATAATTATAATTATTATTATAAAAATAGTGTTAAAAAAAATGATTCAGTGCAACGACAGTGGGGAAAAACAGTAAACTGCTTAAAAGCTACGTAAGTGGGCTGGCTTATCTTATTTAAAATAATTCTTTACATTATCTATAGTAAAACCTTTTTTATTTATGAGAGTTTTAGTAAATATATATTTAAGACCTCGTTTTACCGCCTCCACAGTCATAAGAAGCTGGGTTGTTTCGTGTCCAAAGTATCGGCATTGCGTTTAAGGATAATGGATATAGCACTTAGTAGTAATTTAATATTATTTGTAAATTTTTTTGCAGTACGCGATAATGTTTCAGAAAGGATAAAATGTAATTTAAGTCACAACAACTACAATGCAACATGTTCAAAATCTAGTTTACTGATGGCCATTAAACGTATGTTCATATTATATTGTTTACAAATAAATACCAAGTGGCATTGGATATAATTAAGTAGTCATCAAATCTTTTGTCAACTATTTAAGTAACGAGAAAAAAAGCACATTAGGTAGATTATTTTTAGACTTACCTTTTTTGATATTTTTCTAAGAATAATAATAAGTAATTATATAAATAATATTTTTTTGTTATTATTACTACGGTTTCATCTATGGTTACCATGATATCTTATATTTTGTAACCTATATTTATTCAGTCAAAAAGAAAGTGATCCTTTTTTATTTAATCGTACAGAATAAATAAGACAGGCGTAAAAATAACATCCGGTTCCCACGTCATTGTCAGGTAGATGCTTCCTTTTAATTCCTCATATACTCTTTAGCAAATATATATATATATATATATATATATATATATATATATATATATATATATATATATTGTAATTCCTAATACCGGAAAGAAAAAACTAATACTTCCTTCACCTTATTGAAAAAGCAAGCTTTTAAGCATTTGCATTCGTAAATAGAGATTCAACTAGAAAACCAGTTTCGAATATTAATTAAAACTGATAATTTAAAAACGATAGAGTATTTCTCACATTGCAATAAATATAACTTTCAGATAAAATTAACTTTCAACGTTTTAAATGTAAAAACGTACGCTTTCATCTGAAGTGAACTACAAATATGCAAAGGTGATAGCTGGTTATCCGGATCTACTTATAAGATACTTTTTACCGCGGGAAAATATCTCATTTTTGAGAAAAAATACAAAAACTGCACTGTAAGAGTATACTAATATGTAAAACCTAAGAATTTGGTTTTTGGTCATCTGAACGCGGGCGGAGCCGCGGGCAATGCCAGTAATCTATAATTTATAACTATGTTTTATATTATCTACAAACGACTACTTAGCCTCGCTTCGCTCGGGTGCGTTTTAATTTTTTTGAGCGGAACCCTAATTCTTTTTCTAAAATAAAAGTAACCTAAGTTACTCCTTATAAAATCAACTATCTGCCAGTGAAAGTCTCGTCAAAATCGGTCCAGCCGTTTTGGACACTAGCCGGAACAAGCACAATTTCACAGCTACAGACAGCTATCGTCATACCAAATTTCATCCAAATCCCTCTAGTGGTTACCTGTGATGCGGTAACAGACAGACAAAAATTCTTAAAACTATAGATTTGGCCTCTGTATCGATAATAATGTCTATTTCAATAAGATTTTCCAAAAAATATTTAATGTACAGATTCGGCTTAGTTACAATTTTATTATAAGTGTGTATAGATTAAGGAAGAACGTGTGACTAAGTGAAACTACTAATTCCATATTGTAAACTTTATCAATTTTATTAGGATAGGATAGAGAGCCATATCTTCGGAAAATGTCATTTTTATCCTGTAATGTCAACATTTATATAAGGTTGTATTCAGCCCTTTTTAATGTCCCACTGCTGGGCACGGGCCTCCCTTCAATACGTGGGGGGATCAGGCCATAGTCCACCACGCTGGCCAAGTGCGGGTTGGCGGACTTCACATGTCTTTCGAAAACTTGCTACGTTCTCTCAGACATGCAGGTTTCCTCACGATGTTTTTCCTTCACCGTAAGGCAAGCGGTAATCATGTTAGAAATGATTCGCACATGAAAATATCAGAGGTGCGAGACCCGGGATTTGAACCCGCTTCACTCGGTGTCCCAAGCGAGCGTGTTACCACTGGGCTACCACTGCCTTATATAAGGTTAGCAGGAATTTTTGTACACAGAAAGTCATCTTTCGACACATCACACGACGCGACGTGTGAATGTGTGGTATATCTTTTCACTTTCTAAAGTGGAGAGTAGAAATTATTAATTATTTAAATTCATTAGTATAGAAATTCATAGTTCAAACATTACCGAATGTTATAGGTACATTTATAAATATACGATTAAAGCTTTATATGATGAAACCTATAATGTTTTTAAAGGCTAGTCTTATTTATTTAAAATACATTATATATCTATACTAAATAATAAATTTGTAACTAAGTCGAATATGTACATAATTTTTTTTTTTGGAAAATCTAATTGAAATAGACATTATTATCGATACAGAGTCCGAATCTATAGTTTTTAGAATTTTTGTCTGTCTGTCTGTTACCACATCACGAGAAAACCACTGGACAGGTTTTGATGAAATTTCGTATGATGATAGCTGGGTATCCGGGTCAACATATAGGATACTATTTACTGCGGGAAAATATATCATTTCTGAGAAAAATACAAAAACTGCAATGTAAAAGTATACTAATATGTACAACCTAAGAATTTGGTTTTTGGTCATCTGAACGCGGGCGGAGCCGCTGGCAATGCTAGTTAAGTATATTTCTAAAATTAATTTCCTTGATCAACGGGAAATTATTATTTATAACAGAAATATCATTGGTGCGTAAACGCTCGTCGGCTTTAGACGCGTTATCGTTGTATCGCTAAAACCGGTTTCTTCAAGTCGCTGTGTTCTTTATATCATTATAACTTAGCTTATTATGTTAACTGCATTTAAATATAAGAAGAAATATGACTACAAACGAGTCTAATGATACAGACGAGTTGGAGTTTCACGTTCGCGCGGATATATCGAGAGAGGAAGATATTCTAGAAGAAGATAGCTTATCCATTCAGACTAATCATCATGGTATCAGTAGACCAAGTAAGAGGAATAGGGATAATGATATGGAAGAAGTTTGGACCACCGTGCAAAGGAAAGGCAAGCGTTTCGCTCTGGCAGGGGATTCAAATGGTAATAGCGAAACAAGAGAACAGAAGATTGAGGTTTGCATTATATGTAAGGAACAACTTCCAAAACAATTTAAACTAGCGAAATTGCTAAGAGCAGAAAAAATACAAAATGTTGTGCGGGTTAAGTATATTAATTCATATAAAGTACTGATTGAGTTTGATAAAGAAGAAAGTGCAGAAGAATTAGTAAATTCAAAATATTTCAATGAAATGGGATACAATACTTATAAAACAATGGAAATTAATCGAGTATATGGAGTAATTAAAGATATTGATTTGGATCGTTCAGACGAAGAAATTTTAGAGAGTTTATATAGTACTACAAAGATTTTGGAAATTAAAAGGCTTAAACGCAAAAATAAATATGATGGAAGATGGGAGACAAGTGAAGCGATGAGAATCTGCTTTGAAGGTTCTTCATTACCTACACAAATCAAGATGTTCGATACTTTAATAAGAGTGACACCATATATATTTCCTGTCACACAGTGCACTCGTTGTTGGAGGTATGGTCATATAAATAAAATTTGTCCTTCTCATAAAACTATATGCCCAAAATGTGGTGAGAATCACCAAACATGTGATCGTACTTCGTTTAGTTGTAATAATTGTGGAGGAAATCATATGGCAATGGCTAAAATTTGTCCCATTTACATTAAAGAAAAAAGAATTCGCGAACTAATGTCAGAATTTTGTTGCACATATAAAAAAGCTTTAACAATATATGTGCCGCCTAGTCCTCCTCCATTGCCTGTTATAGTAGAGAAATCCTTCCCAACAATTAGTAATGATCAAGTTATAACAACGAATGTTCCTTTAGAAGTCGAGGCGGTTATAGAAGAGTCTATTACTTCAAAGTCTTATGCTGAAGCAACAAAAGTATCACATAAAAAGTCAAAGAAGAAATCAACTAGTAATACGTCTACATCTAAATCAGTTAAAGCGAACAAACAAAAGACAACAGAGAACGTTAATCTACAGATTATAGAAGACATAGAATTTTTATCGGAACCAGAGAGTAATCTAAATGAAGAAGAGTTGGGACAACAACATGAAGATGGAGACAAAATCCAAAATAACGAAGACGACAAATGGAAAGTGTTACTTCAAAAATTAAGGGAAAAGATTGTGGATAATACTTTAAAATGGGAAGAAAAGTTGAATGCATGCATTAATATAATATACAAATATGTGTTAACATTTATTATTAAATATATTACAAACTGGTCATGCTTTAAACTCTTTACGGAACATGGATCTTAAAAATAACGAACACAAGTTAAATATTATACAATGGAATGCACAAAGCTTGAGACCCAAATTAACAGAATTCGGACTACTCCTGAATCAGGAAAAAATACACATCGCCATTGTGAGTGAGACATGGCTTGACCCAAATAGTTTTCTGGCCATAAGTGGATACAAAATTTTTCGATCAGATCGCAGAGATGGTTATGGTGGAGTGGCCATTATTGTACACTGGTCCATTAAAGCTCAACAGCTGCCATTCAACATTGAAAATTCAGGAATAGAGTGTGTATATGTTAAAATATTTAATTGCGGAGATATAGAAAATATTATATCTTTATATTGTCCACCTGCAGTTAATACTTTGCCTCAAGACTGGAGCTCAATATTTTCAAAATTTAGACAAGGAACAGTGTTAGCGGGAGACTTTAACGGTCATCATTGTATGTGGTCTTGTAAAAGCGATGCCAGAGGTGTACAAATTTATGATTCATTATTAGAATCTAGCTTTATTTCCCTCAATGACTGTCAGGACACTCGTTTTAAAATGGTTAATGGCTCAATACAAAAGTCTTCTCCAGATATATCTTTAGTTACAGAAGATATTGCAATTAAATTTAATTGGAACATCATGAATGAAAATTTAGGCAGTGACCATTTAATGATAAAAATGAAAGTGGAAACTAACTCACGTTTTTATAATATGGTCAGGAAAAGAAATTTCAAAAAAGCTGATTGGGCAAAGTATAGCATATCTGTCGAAAGACAACTTAATAGGTGTACACTCCCAATAGATAATCAAGAGGCATATAATTTTTTTATCAACATTATTAACGCAGCTGCAGACGAAGCTATTCCATACATTAATATCTGTATGTGTCCAATGAGTGCATCTAAATTTATTCCTAAGCCTTACTGGTCACCATATATCTCTCACGTTGTGGCGAAAAGACGATTGGCTTTAGCAAAATTTAGGAAAAATCCGACTCCTACTAATCTTACGGATTTGCAGGAAAAAGTGGGGCTATCACAACGTGAGATTAAGCGGAGTAGAGGTAAATCTTGGGAAAAATTCTGTGATGGTATCGACAGTAAAATTTCTTATGGAGAAATGTGGTCACGTATGAAATGGATTAAAGGTTTCAGAACACCTAGATCTGTTATAGATAGGAATATTGCTGAATCCTTATTATGTGAACTAGCACCGGACTCTGTCGCTCCTATTTCCCCAATTTTTCAGTCTAGAAATTCAAAATTACTGACCCCCATTTCAGTACAAGAACTAAACAATTGTTACAAAAAATCAGACACGGCTCCAGGTATTGATGGTGTGACCTACTCAATGATTAACAATCTTCCAGCTTCAGGGAAAAATATACTTATTAAACTGTATAATAGATTCTTAACAGATGGCTTCATTCCATTGCAATGGAGAAGTGTTAAAATTGTTCCCATCCCAAAACCTGGAAGGGATTGTACTTCTTCAACAGGGTACAGGCCTATCGCATTATTATCTTGCATATGTAAGTTACTACATTTAATTATTACACGTAGGTTAGAATGGTTTGTTGAAAAGAATGATTATTTTTCTAATGAAACCATAGGATTTAGAAGGTCACGATCATGTTACGACAACTTGGTTAGGCTAGTTACTCGCATTCAGATGGGATTTACAAGTGGAATCCCGACAGTAGGTCTTTTTATTGATATAGATAATGCATATAGTAATATTAACATATCTAGTCTCATGGCAATTTTGGATGATGTTGGGATAGGATCATCTTTGTGTCAATACCTATGGCAATTTCTTAATAATAGAAAATTAACTATGCATATTAATGAGCATGAAGAAATATCTCGAACAACAAGAATGGGATTGGCACAGGGAGACCCATTGTCCCCTTTGTTATTCAATATTGCTACTAGTAAAATTTGTAAATATATTAACAATGTATTTATATCTCAATATGCAGATGACTTTGTTATTTATAGCTCTAATATAAATGTGAATACAGCGTACAACGATATTCAGATTGCATTGAGTGTATTTTGTAAATTAATAGAAGACCTTGGTTTAAGTATATCCTATAGTAAAAGTAAAATATGTATTTTTTATAGACGAAAGCCTAGAACTAGTATTAATGTAAATATCGATAATAGTTCTATACAACAAGTAAACAGTGTAAAATATTTGGGTATATGGTTAGATAGCAATTTAAAATGGGGAAGACATATTAATGAAGTCAGAGATAAAACGTTAAAATTTATTAACATCCTTAGGTTCTTGGCCGGTAGCAAATGGGGGGTTCATCCAAAACATTTGAGGCGACTATATATAGCATTAATACGCAGTAGATTAGATTACGGGAGCTTTTTGTATGATAACAGTATAAATAGTCATTTAAGTAAACTAGATAAAATCCAAAACCATTGTATGCGAGTTATTGGTAGCTTTATTAAAACTTCGCCGATCCATGTAATGGAGAGCGAGTTGTGCCTTCAACCTTTACAAATTCGAAGAAAATATCTAGCTGGAAAATATTTATTAAAATCAATGTCTTTTAGTGAAAACATAACTATGAATGAATTAAAAACACTCAATAGCGTTTGTAACAATCAATTCTGGAGACGAAAAAAATTACCGTTACTTATTTTGCTATACCGAAAATTAAATCAATACCCTATTACATCTGAAAAAAAGCTTACCATATATTCTCTCCCTACGTGGATTGGGTTTTTTGACATTTCCAAAAATATTTCTCCTGCTGTCGAAGGTATCACCGCGTGTAAGTCATCATCGAGTCATTTTAATGTGCTAAATCAATGTCGAGCGCTATTACATGACAAATATAACTCCTGCTATAAATTATATACTGATGGCTCTAAAAATGAATATGGAGCAGGTGCCGCGTTTTTTGATCCTCAAACCAAAGGTACTATGAAATTTAAAATAAATGTAAATATTTCGATCATGCACATTGAGTTAATTGCCATACTTGAATCACTATCGTTTATTTTGTCATGTTCAGAAAGAAAGTTCGTTATACTGTCTGATTCAAAAAGCGCCCTTTTACATTTGGCTCGGCTAACCTCGACTGTTCGAGGATATCCGATAGCCTATAATATTTTACAGTGTATTTATGAAATCGAATCTCAAAGTAAGACTGTATTTATTCAATGGGTACCGTCCCATATTGGACTTGAGGGAAACGAGGAAGCAGACAGGGCCGCCAAACAGGCTATTAGCGAAGGGATTCCTTACGATTGTGTTCCTCTATATAATGATATTTTAATTAAATTAAAAGAAATGTGCAAACGTAATTGGCAAGAATATTTTGACGAGCGATCACGGTATAAAGGTATATGGTATAAAACAATTGTAAATGAGCTTCCTCATTACCCTTGGTTTGACAGATCTAAAATAAAAAGAAAACAGATAGTATCGTTGTTGAGACTGCGTTCCGGACACATTCTTTCAAATAAGTTTAAGTTTTTGATGGGTATATCTAATACAGATAAATGCTCACAATGTAACTGTATCGATGATATATATCATCTACTAATGGAATGTGTGCGAAACGAAGAATTAAGGCCACTTGTGTTAAAATCGTATAATGTGGGTATATGTAACAGCATACTGGCTGCACCACTGTCAAGCAGCGCGATTATATTAGCTAAGTTACTCCATTAATGAAATTGGAACTAATTTTTATTAAGTTTAGATTTTTATTAAGTTAGATGTTGTACGGGGGTGACATAGTCAATGCCATGACTCAAACTCCCATATAAAAAAAAAAAAAATAAAGATTAAAAAAAAAAAAAAAAAAACAGAAATATGGGCTTTCGCAAGAATTTGGAATTTACCAACTTATTGTTTTCCTAATGAAGTTATAATAATCATTACCTACGCTCGTAATAACTTGATTATAATAGGTTCAAAATTACCCACATCGTCGGAAGTCGCAGTATAGTTTAGCTTATTTAAAGATGAAGAAACTTTCTGGTTTTTTACTTTTAACAGGTATAATTTTGTTGCAGGTATTATTTTTTATACACTTGTATTCGTAGAGGGTTTATAATACAATGAAAGAATACATAAAAGATACCGTGCGCGAGACTCGCTTTACTTGTGCATCTCAAACTTTAGTGCTATTTGTATCCCCTTAGACACAAATAAGGATCTCTTAGGCAGGTAGTCAAAATAACAGAAATCCATGTGCTGAGGATGAAAGGAGTAGGCATTCAATTGTTTTACTTTATATACAATTAAAAAAAAACGTCCAACGATTAAAAGATCGAATCGGATTTTATTGCTTAGTATATTCACATCTTTAGATTTTTATACATATTATATTACATCGATATAAATTCCGATTGTCAATTTAAGTATCTAACCAAAATATTAGTGAACTTCGTGTTTCTATGACAAACTTTATCGGTTCGATGTTTCTTTATCTACACGAATGGATGCGCAGGAGTCGCTCACGGAATAGTACAGTTACCCACACATGTTCGTGCTATTAAATACGTGCATATTTATGCGTAACGTGTCTTCTGTAACGGTGCCCAGGCAAGGACTTAAAAACGTGTTACTATACCTAATATTTATTGTGAAATTATGCACAATGTCCTACATATTAATAAATATATAAAATCATTTAAAAGTCAAAAGTTTGAAGGAGATGAATATTGAGACTTGTATGATATTGCTGTTGTTTTCAAGTTCGCTACGTAAAATATGCGGAGGTTTTTCCTTGATGTATGTACCTATTAGATTTGTGCGGTTAATTACATACATTTTATACCTACTATACTATACTACCTTGCACGATAAGTGTAATTGTTTTTTGTACTATTTTCCACCTATTTTCTTAAAAAGGCTTATTTTATGCACCCATAAAATTGTATTGTACGCTAATGCAGCTTTTGTGATATTTATTGCTGCATTGTATATAAAAAAATCATTCAGTAACTTATATGAAAGTAAATAGCTTTCAACATGTGAATATAAACAAAAATATACAAATAGTAAACCTAATGTTTACTAACTAAAAAACTAAAATTACTACACCGATTTTGATGGTAATTATTGAGAAAACAAATGAAGTCTAGTGTACAAAAATATTTATCCACACGGCATATGATATTTCGAAATGAGAAAGTTAGACTAAGATCATTTTTTGAAAAGAACAACATTAAATAGGTACAATCGACAAAATAAATAAATGTGGAGCGAAAAAAAGGTATTAATGAATTTATTTAGTGAATTACCTGTATATGGCTGCGCTTAACTTCGATATAAAGCCAGTTGTCTGTGGAGAATGCTATTGCCATTAAAGCAGCAGCCACGATTGCTGTAATGGTAGCTATAGACAAAGTCACCGCTGAGCAAGGCATTTTTACAACCTTCTTGAGACAATAAGATAGAAGAAATAGGGTACGTTTAACACAATCACAACACTACGTTACTTCGGGAAGTTCACCTATACAGCATTTTCGTAAACACTTGACGGGACGGGGAACACGACAGCACTCTCACAATTTAATAAAAACTCATATGAATGCGGTCATCGCCTGCAGCGTACCGAGTTCGCGCGCGATACTTCTTCGCCTACTTCGCACCGTCTTGCCTTGCCTTGTCGAGTTGCCGCTCTCTTGCGGATGTGAAACTTTCGAAAGCGAACGAACTCCGCCAAGCGGTAAGAATGCAAATTAAAAAAACCAGTTTTGTAATACCAGCTTAAAAAATTAAGGGATAATTTTTAACTAGCAATGTTAATTTAATTTAGGAACGTCAATTTAATACTTTTGTTTTCTGGATTCTATTAAAGCTCACTTTTAAATTCTATTAGTCTAGTAAAACTTGTATAATATTAATCTCTACACGACCTGAAACACTAATAATGAAAGTTATTAATGTTTTCTTCATTTGCTGTAAATTTTTTATTCCTCAAAAATGCTATATGAATTTTGGATTTCTTCCATATATCATATGAAAGTAATTGGTAAGTATGCAAAAGCATACTGTTTTAATACAAATAGTAAAAATGGTAAAAAAAGAGGAATATTTAATTAATTCCATTTTATGAATATGGGGACAATATGATTTTTGTTGTGGCAACATTTTTTAATTGTCATAAAAAAGTAAACACAGGGTCAATAAATAAAAAAACTTAAAACATTGTCTTAAAGTTTTGTTCAGTTCAGAATACGATTAATTATGGCTAATTCTTTTGAATATGCAAAATATGATGATGTTTTTACATCTATATTAGAAAATGAAAAATCAATTCTAGGTTTTCTGTCAGCGATATTTAATTTTCTTGCTAGACGGTAAAGTATACATTTCCAGGTTATTTTATTATAAAAGTTTTCGAGAAAATAAAGCAACAATTATATATTACAGCACTGACTTTTACTATGTTTCTACTAATCCCCGTGACGAAATGGGATTTCCACCAGGAGTGGCGGAAGAACTTGTGCTTAAAGTGTTAAAAAAATGCGATCCCAAGAACTGGAGTGTTGGAATGGATAAAGAAACAGATATTAATAATGAAATAATGTGTTCTACTGTTGCTCAAGAAGTAGAAGTTGTTGCTGAAGATGAAGAACCTTCCGACGGGATTGTTGATGAAGAAGTTTCAAAGAATGAAGAGATTCTATCAGCATCAAGTAAAAAAAATGATGGTACTAACGAAGATGATAAATCAATTTTTCCAGAAGACTATGAACCACCAGTGATAGTCACTCAAAAAAATAGTGAAGCTTATAATGGTGCAGTGAGAGATAAATATTCTTGGTCACAAACTATTATGGATTTAGGTCAGTTTACAGATAACTGATAGATTAATAAATTAACTTTAATATAACTTGATATTGTTTTTTTCTTACAGATATAACTATTAAGTTGCCACCAGATATAAAATCCTCTAAAGACTTAAAGGTTACTATTAATCCAGGGGATATATGTGTAGTGCACCTCAATGGAGATGTTATTATTAAAGACTTGCTACCATACAGGATTAAAACAATAGATAGTTTTTGGAGCATTAGTGAAGGCAAATTATTGATTCATTTAGGTACAGTTATTTATATATTATATTTATTCTCCTGTTTAGTATGTAATAATAATGTAGAGTCAAAGTTATCTATAACACTGCATTCTTTATTTCCAAGTATTATTAATTTGAGATGTATTATGTAAATTAAATCTATACATATAATAAAATTGTAACTAAGCCGAATCTGTACATCAAATATTTTTAGGAAATCTTATTGAAATATACATTATTATCGATACAGAGGCCGAATCTATAGTTTTTAGAATTTTTGTCTGTCTGCCTATCTGTATGTTACCACACCACGGAAAAACCACTGGACCGATTTTGATGAAATTTGGTATGATGATAACTGGTTATACGAGTCAACATATAGGATACCTTTTACTGCAGGTGACTATCTCATTACTGAGAAATCTACTAAACATTAAAACGTAACTAGCATTATAAAAACAGTATATTGCAACATATTGTAAATATCTAAGTTCCCAAGTTATTCACACTGTTCTACAGATTCAAGTGCTTAGAAAGTAGATAGCTTACATCTTAGATTAACACAAAACTTATATTTTTATACAATTACACCACACAATGGAGCCACAGCCAAAAATTATTTGCCAATAAGTCAATATATCTTTTAAGCTAAGTAATGATAATTTTTATGTTCAGAAAAAATACAAGAGCGCTGGTGGCATAAATTACTCAATGAAGAAGAAGAAATTGATCTTTCAAAAATTGACTGCTCGAGGCCATTAGATGAATTACCTGAAGATAGTGTTGCCAAGGTATACGAGACAATTATAATTTTAATTTTTGCTAATTATTTATTTTAATTTATTAATTAATAATTTATTTTCATGAGTTTAAAAGTATTCCACTCTTGTTTTTGCAAATGAAGAATGAATAAAAGAAATTTATTTCTTTTGTTTTCTCCTCTGTGCCTCGGAGAGTCCGTAAAACCGTCAGACCCACACCTGATCTCTCACCAGTCATGACACTATCTGTAGGTCACTAATCTCAGTGAAATTGGCAGTCGTGGCCAAACCGGTCGGGAGGGCATTATTACAATATATAATTAAATAATTTCAGGTAAGAGAATTGCAGTGGAATCAAGAACAAAAATTAAAAGGACTTCCAACAAGTGATGAAATAAGAAATGTACAATTACTTAAAAAGGCCTGGAATTCAGAAGGCTCTCCATTTAAAGGCAAAGAATTCAATCCAAACATTTTTCAAAAGTAATACTAGCAGAGATTAAAAAAAATTACCTCTTCATAAATAAGAAGTTTGTAAATTAACTTAATATTGATTTCATTATAGCAAAACTTTAAAACTAAATTAACTATGTCTATAGAAATATTATACAAAAGTGTTCGGTTCACTTTTTATTACCGATTCATAAATTCTATAAACCATTTTAATAAACAATATTAAAAATCTTAAACTATTTCATTTAAAACCTAACAAAAACACTTTGCCAATTATGTGTTTATCTAAGGACGAACTTGAGCGAAGCGAGGATGAGTCGCTAGTGTTCTATAAGTTGGTGAGCTTCTTTTATGTTGACATCATTTATTGGTGAAAGAACTTTATTTAGAGTATAGTTCAATTGGCCATTCTCTAGCAACAGTTTTTGGCAAATTTCTGGCCATTGCAAATCCTTAAAAATCTATGGAGTACACTGTTTAGTATGTCGGACTTATAATAATTGTAATCCATACTAATATCATAAATGTGAAAATACGTTATAATACAATTCAAAAAAATATCAGAATTACTTGAAACTTGGTATTAATGCTCTTCAATATAATTAAATAAATATGTGTTTTAACATTTTTCGAAATTCATCCTAAAATAAATATTCGAGATGAAAGTTTGTATGAAACCTGAAAAATAAAAAGTGTTTATAGTTTTTTTGTAGTTTTAAAAAAGAAAGCCGAGCCACGAAGGCGAAGCCGCGGGTTCTGCTAGTATGTAAATAATAATAAGTATTAATTTATTTTGGTTTGGCATCATTTATATCACACTAGCATTGCCCGCGGCTCCGCCCGCGTTCAGATGACCAAAAACCAAATTCTTAGCTTTTACAGATTAGTATATTCTTACATTGCAGCTTTTGAATTATTTCTCAGAAATTAGATATTTTCTCGCGGTGAAAAGTATCCTATATATTGACCCGGATAACCAGTTATCATCATACAAAATTTCATCAAAATCTATTCAGTGGTATTCCTGTGATGCGGTAACAGACAGACAGACAAAAATTCTAAAAACTATAGATTCGGCCTCTGTATCGATAATAAAGTCTATTTCAAATAATATTTTCCAAAAAATATTTAATTATATGTATAGATTTTTATATTACTGTAATGTATATATAATTTTGCAATAATCGTCTGCCCGATTTGTTGACATTTATGATTATTGGGTCCGCTCCCTTGGGTAGAAGCATGGTGATGTATAGTTTATACCCTTCCTCAACAAACGGATTATCTAATACAAAAATAATATTTCTTATCGGATGAGTAGTCCGTGAGATAAGCGCGTTTAAACTACTGCGGTGCAATGTCAACCTTATACTAAACAAAATTGATTTCATATTTGCCTTTAAGATTACCGCCATCTCTGGATGAGAAGCGGAACTAACGTAATGCAATATGTTATTAATCTATACTTATAAAAATAAGTCCCCCGGCCGCGTCTTTCTGTCCTCCTGTCTGTCCTCCTGTCTGTCTGTACGCGATAAACTCGAAAACTACTGAACGGATTTTTATACGGTTTTCAACAATAGAAAGAGTAATTCTTGAGGAAGGTTTAGGTATATAATTTATTATGCTTTTATGTAAATTAGCTGAAATACGGCGACAAATGTTGAAGAGGTCGCAAAAAATCTCGCCAAATGGGAACTTTCCACGCGAACGCCGCGTAAACTAGCAAAGATACAGTTAAGTAATGTACTAGAGAATTCAAAATCTATAAAAATGCTACAAAAAAGTCCGCGATAGCATATCTCTATCTCTTACGGTTGACTTACAATAACCACTTTTATGTTAACATTTTTAATTAAAAACATTACGTTATTTTCAAAGTTATTTTCTTTAGTTCGGTATTAATCCTTATCCAAATGAATATTTTAGTTAGCTTAGTCATTTAATGCAGATTAAAATTGCTCTTTACACTAAATCAATCAGATGAATAGTTTTTGAGATATCGTTGTTAGAAGTAATTAGTAGCGAAACATTTTTAATGCTTGGCGAGCATTGAGATGCCTACGGCGAGTCCATCCCCTCTGCCCCGCATCGCTCGACCGCCTGCTCAAGCTATATAAACCGGGCGATGTAGCGCGCGATCCTAGGATACTTTTTACCGCGGGAAAATATCTTATTTCTGAGGAAAAATACAAAAACTGCAATGTAAGAGTATACTAATATGTAACACCTAAGAATTTAGTTTTTGGTCATCTGAACGCGGGCGGAGCCGCGGGCAATGCTAGTATGTAATAATTAATAAAGTATATTAAAATAAATCTTGTAGTGGAAAAAGATAAATTCTTAATTATGGGATATTGATAATTATGCAAGTCAATGTTAAAATAAAACACAATATTTGATTGGTTATTTATTTGTATGATTCATGGTATACATATTTGTGTGAGTTTGGCGACACAAGTTCCGATACAAACGTAGTCACGATCACACTTCCCTTGTATTTTCTCTTCCGCATCGATAATTATCTTATTTGTGTACTAATAATATGGGGAGGTAGCGTAACATTTATCCTGAGAATTTTATACCATCGGAATGAGTTTGATATTAAATAATTGTTAAATTTTCAATAACGTACATTTTTAACTGACTTCCAAAAACGAGGAGGTTCTTAATACGTCGGAATCTTTTTTTTTTTTCATGAACTTAATTGGTGTTATATCCTGTATCCTGCGCAAAGGAGTTCACCGAACTTGTGTTAAGTCTATAGTTTTTTACGAAGTATTAATAAATAAGGTAGGTATTAAGGAGAATGAAACAAACATAATTGTTGTAATAGCTATACATTTATTTTAAAGAAGATATGACTATGTGTTATAATGTATTCTTAGGACATACTAAAAGCAGATCAATATATATCACAGAATAGGCATAACAATTCACAATGTGCAAAGAAGAACGACACAAAACTTAAAATTAATATTTCGCAATTAATTCAATTAACATAATGGCAACATGGTTTAATATTTTTTTTTCAGTTCGTATATATTTTTTTTATTAATATGACCTGATACTCGTACAATTCATGAATACAATAAAAAATAATCGTCTATATAAATTTAAATAGTCCTTTTAAATTTTAAATATTCATTTTAATTTCAAATTAAATAGAACGGAATTGTAGTAGTCACAAAATTCCTAGATTATGACTTTATTACCAACAATTGAAACAATTAAGACCCTAGAAAACCTTTAACTTCTATTAGATTCATAATTTAATAAATTATATTCAATAATATTTAAGTTCTATTATTAAATATAATTTATTAAATTTTTACTAAACTAATAACTTAATGGATTTAAATATGTGCTTTTGTTAGCACTTACAATACTGATTGTGACCCAGTAACAAAGTCTCTCTGCATACTAAATCACCAGTGGACATACATATTATATCTGTAAAGATATCTACGAATCGTACTTTTTTGTGGAAAAGCTCTTATATCATAAACTACACAATTATTACATTTCTAATTTAGATCTTTTGAAAAATTACATTTTTATAACAAGTTTTTGTACATTTATTATGTAATATTCATTATTATTAATTTGATTTAAAACTTTTATCCTTCTCTAAATAAAAAGCATGTCTGAGATTCCAGAGGCTAAGGCCTCTTACACACTATCATTAATATCTTTTATTTTCAAGACTGTGCACCTAATTTTTATAGAATAATAATTATGTTTTGGTTACCACTTGCATTACGGTGAAGAAAAAACATCGTGAGGAAACTTGCATGTCTGAGAGAACCTAGCAAGTTTTCGAAAGACATGTGAAGTCCGCCAACCCGCACTTGGCCAGCGTGGTGGACTATGGCCTGATCCCCCTCATATTGAAGGGAGGCCCGTGTCCAGCAGTGGGACGTTAAAAAGGGTTGAATACAATAATTATGTTTAATCAATATCAGTGAAGACTATATTAGATTATAGACTATATTAGATATGGACTATGGTATAGGTACAACAAATTTTAAATCCAGCAAGAATCTTTCGTTTCTTAGAATTGAGTACTTTAAATATAAACCACCTGATTTTATAATTAATAATAATCAATATACATAGTGTTATTGATAACAACTAAATAAATATTTTAGCATATTTAAATACGCATTTAATTACAAGACTTTACTCTGCTTTGTAATAATTTCTGTTGATATGACTGCCCTTATAACTTTATGTACTCTAATACTTTGGCAGGTACAATTTTCAGCATTTATGCGCATAAATAGAAAAGCTCTTTTCATATACTATTACGAATATGTATAGAACACATCTGTTAGATTTTACTGATATGTTCTACTTTTTAAACACATATTTTTATTTTTTAAGCATAAACAACTGTAACACAAACTCACTTTGTTCATACGAAATTCTATTCTGGATTTTCATAAATAATATTTTGTGGCTACACTCATGGCACTCTAATGTAGGTACTACGTAAACACTAAACATGGTTATTTTATTATATAATACTGAATATACCTATATTGGTAATTTTAAATATTGAAAATTTGTAATACAAGACCCCGTCGATTATTTGTTTATTCTAAAACTTTATAAGCTGTAAATTTAACGTATGACCAAACTTATACACTATTATAAATTATTAAACTTAAGATATAAATAAAACTATGGCAAAATAGTCGCGACACTTTATTTTGATCGTCATTGTTTAAAATTGGAAGTTTAATTTACACCGTTAGAATTGTAGTGACCATCGGTTTAATTAATTTTAGAGATATAGGTACCAAAATAGTATATAGGCAAGTGAAGTTTTATTTTGAAAGGTTGAATTTTATAAAATGATAAATGTTATTTTTTTCATATAACTTAAAATGGTATCCCATTTGTTGAAAATAAAAATATTGTATGCCTATAACGCAATATTTTAAAGTTTTAATTTAGGTCACTGCTAATCCAAACGAATATATTTTATGTATTTTTTATTATCCCGTAGGTATTATTTCATAAAATATAATTAAGACTAGAAAATGATAGAAACTTAGTTTATAAATTAAATAAATATAAAATATACTTATTATTATGTTATGGTACTTTAGTATAAGTATTAAGGTTTGAAATTTTATTAAAATTAGTAATGGATACAAATACTCAGGTACATTGTACTTTTGGGTGCACGGAAGTGCACTGCCAAGTGTAAACTTTGTTTTTAATATTTTCTAATTTCTTCTTTATGTAAGATATGTACATCTTTAAAAGACACATGTCTTTCTAAAATAAATTATACCGATTGGGTATGTTTTATCATAAAATATAGTTGCCTTCTCAAAAAAAATTGTTTGATGCTTTTATGTGTCTAATTACGTTTTTTAATAAAAAAATTATATGTACTATGGACTAGATAAAATTATTAATATTATTTATCTATGAAACTATATTATTTTATTTATATTCGGTTAGAAGACTTTAATTTTAGTTTTTAATAATTTCAGATAGAATTGACGTTGATTATGAGAATACACATTCAAAACAGGCATATTTTTATATATAACTAACTACACAGATGGTAACACATTTCTGTGTCATTATTATTTTATATAAAATGATAACTAATTTTACAGAGATTTCAAAAAAACCCACTAAATTATACAAACAGCGGATGTAAGTATTATATTAAGGTATTTAATTGCTATTTATTTTATGAAATTTTGTATAGCTAAAGCTAAAAATAAACATCAGTCTAAGAAAAATCATTTTGACTTTTAACAAGCATCTATTTAGAAAATATTCTATTTGAAATGTAGCTTCGTAAAATTTTTATATACTTACTGCATGTTATATTCGTAGTATGTTGGTACATAAATCTATTTCATATTCAAACATGTTATAAAATCTCAACCCTATTGAGAAATAGTAATTGTTAGATAACTTTATTCACTTTAAAAGTTATACTTCTTTAATTTGAAGATATTTGTAAAATAGAAATATTTTTTGGATTTATAATATAATACTCATAATAATAGAATGTATGCCTATGGAAAATGGAGAAAAAGTTACCTTTTCAATTAAAAAAAAAATACACTTAAAAATGTTGACTAGTTTAATCAATTGTCTGAGCGGTGCTTATTGAGTAGCAGTTTATGTGAAAGTTTCCATTTCGTCACTACTCGCTATAGACATGGAGAAAGAGATTGAGGACTACAACTTTCCATTTCTAAAGCAACAATTAAATGTGGCGGAGAAAAAACTGAAAATGTTAACTTTTTTTATTTATGATTAATATAAATTTATTATACCTATTGGCCTTTTCTCCTAGTCAAAGTATTAATTCAATCCATGTTTCTAAATTAATTACGTTCTGGTATAATAATCATCCTTAATTATTTTCAATTTAGTATCAACTCCGTATAGTTAAATGAAACACACATTTATACCATAAAAACTCAACTTAAATATCACATTAAAGAAGTACAACTTTTAATTAAAAACAAATGAATTTACTGTACAGCATACTCGCAGAAGTCATGTGCCCCTGTGCATTCCACACTGGGTCTGTGCGTGGAGTCCCATATGCCGGGGCCGCACCTCTGACACATACCGACCAGAGTGCACGGTATCCGCACTAGCTGTCTGAACTGATGGAGGAGACCCCGAGCTTTGCGTAGTATGAGACGCCCATCCATGTACAACGCTGAAATTGTTTTAGATTAAAATGTATATGTCCGATTTATTTATTTATAGCATAATAATTTTCATAATGTTTTTAAAACATAACCCCCATTAAAGCGTGTTATCGATTTGGCTGGGTATAAAATATTTTTTTATATTTTTCCAGCTTGTTATGACTGACAACATCCACCAATTTCAACTATTATTGTTTTAATCTTCATAAATCGGAGAGTGTGTCGTATCTGTGTTTTTTCCTTCTGCTAAATCAGTGAACCGATATATCAATTGTTGAATACAATTAATTTGCTTAAAATAACATTATTGAGATAACATTTATCTGATAACATCAAGGTTGTGTTTATTTTAGATTGCAATTATAGGTAATTATAAAGATTCATACTATATCCATATATGCATTTATAATCTAGTGACTCTAGTAAGTACATAACTATAAAAACAACTAACTATAACTGCCTCGGTGGTCTAATGGCTAGAATGTACGGTCGCAGATCCGGAGGTCCTGGAGTCGAGTTCCGGGTCGGGCTAAGTCGTCACTTATTGAGTATTTCTGTCAAAAAATTCTCAGTAACAGCCCAGAGTTGGAAATTGGCAGTGTTTCACCATCGCACTTCGGAGAGCAGGTAAAGTCATCGGTCCTACGCTTTAACTCTCACTGTCGACTCGAGTCGAAGTATCGCCCCATCGGACTTTGAGAGTAAAAGGAATAGAGTCCACTTGTGCGCGCTGCACTTCAATATATCCTGGCTAGTTTTCGTGAGATTAGCCACCGTTGCCGAAATCGGCCAGGAGGACATTATTAAAAAAACTATAAACTTACCTAAAGAACTAAAATGCAGCAACATCTCATCGGTGTTGAGATCCTGTGCAATGACATCATCAGCGTACACTGCAATGATCGCGAGGCATAGGAAGAGGTGGAAGTAATCCGTCTGGTAGTTCGCCCAACACGCTTCCCACATGCGTAGTGCTACCGCTTCAGTAAATTCACGTTTAAAGCATCTAAAAAAAGATTAACATGTAAAATAATATGGTTTTATACAATTTACTTGTGATAGTTATGAGAATTAAAATTATAACGGGGATTTTGTAAATTGAATAAGTTTACTATTTGATAGTTTTTCTAATTAAATTACCGTTTCTGTTTGCGCACTTTTAACTGACTTTTTTTAGCTTAAAATAATGCTAACATCCATTTTAATCAAGACTAGCTCTACTGCTTCAGCTTAGTTTCTTAGTTTCATCCCATTGCTGATATGAAGTGCGTGAATACCTTTTTGACTTTCATACCTTACGGCTTAAACGTTTTGTATTTAGTATATTTATGAAGACGTGGATATCGAAATCGTATCTCGAGGTAGGTAATAAACAAAAACACTCAGTGAAGACATAGAACTAAATAGAATAAATAAATAAATAATAAATAAATATGTGGGACAGCACGATCTAGTTCCATGATAAGCTACGAGGCTTGTGTTATGGATACCACATAGTTGATACACTACACATATATAACTTTAAATACATACTTATTATAAATATAAAAACCCATGACTGGAGCACATACATTCGTCATCACACAAATGAATGCCTCCAGCGGGACTCAAACCCGCGACCGCTGGCACAGAAAGTAGAGTCACTACAAACTGAATAAAAACTAAAAATGCATTACTAGATTTAAAAAAATATTCCATCCGGGCATGGCAATTTGTTATTCGTTAACACACTGTGTAATGAAATGCTAATTTCATTTAGCCATTTTTAGTGCTTACCGTCCCGTTCGTTTTAACTGAAATTTTTCATTAATATTTTATACACTTCATTAGACAACTTCATAAATTATTATTAACTTACAGTAATATCCATCTATGACAGAAGAGCAGTTCCATGGCGTCGACATGCTTTTCCATATGCTTGTAGAAATGTGGCAACATAACCCTTATGAGTTCGCGGAGATAACTCTGTTTTAAAAAATAGGTATAATAAAATATAGTATATTATATACAAGTTGCTGTACATTGAATAATGAATATACATATGTATTTCGAATCAACATAATGAATAGTAACTACATTGATACAAAGGAAACGCGATGATGCAGTGCTTCCCTGTGTTTTGTTTTACTATAGGTACACATAACCAGGATAAATATACATATATATTATACATATATATTATAAATACAAGCATTTGTGCAAAACAGGAATAAAAGATAAGTAGGTACTGCCTTTGCCCTTTATAGATTTAATTTTATATGCCCTCAATTAGGTTTATTAAAACTAAGAACATTAGTTCAATGACTTTTATAATGTCAAGTAATCTCGATATTACTTAGTTCAATATTAGAATATAAAGCATTCTTAAAATAATATATAATACTAAAATACTTAAACATTCGTCTTCGTTAGTTATTGATTAATTTATAACGTTATTAGACGTTCTCTGCGTGAGTTCAACCTATATTTGCAAAATATCAGTAAGCTGCCTTACTAAAATGTATTTTTAGTTTTCTTTAACAGAGTCCTTCTATGGTGGCAAATGTAAGAGTTTAAACATTATGTTTTGGTATTAAGTATCCAAATAAGCGTTAAGTTAAATAGAATCATTAAACTTATTAAAATTAAAATGGTTAAAAGATTTGACAGTAGCATAATGTGGCATTGGATGACGACACATAGATCGTCATTTAGTATTAAGTTCAAATTTATTGTTAAATATTAAAATTTAAATGTTGTTAGATAATACATATTAAACTATGGACCTGTGTCTGAATGAAAATTAAATAAATAAAAAAATAAACCCAAAGTTACAAATATACATATGTATAGGTAGTATTATAATGTGATAAATAAAGTGCAATCTAGAACATTTTAATATTTTTTATATATAGATATAGCCTACACCACTAGATACCTTAAAGTAGCAATTATGTGTTACTGCAGGTTTATCTGTGCACTAAATTACATCCAAATACGTCCAGCCGTTTACGCACGCACGCAGCAAGCACGCGCTCACACACATATACATACATACATACAAACAAACTTTCACGTACATAATAGTACCTAATAATAATGAAAAATGATGAAAAATACGTGGAGAGCTTTTATTATTTCATTACTATTCATAGACTTATGAATGCAAATGAATATGAATGCGAGCCTGGTGCATAATTCCTTTTTCTTTTAATGAACGAAATAGGATTAGGGAAATAGCGTAACTGCCGGAGTTCTTTAATCCATTTTTATTTTGTACTAGCATTGCCCGCGGCTCCGCCCGCGTTCAGATGACCAAAAACTAAATTCTTAGGTGTTACATATTAGTATACTCTTACATTGCAGTTTTTGTATTTTTCCTCAGAAATAAGATATTTTCCCGCGGTAAAAAGTATCCTAGGATCGCGCGCTACATCGCCCGGTTTATATAGCTTGAGCAGGCGGTCGAGCGATGCGGGGCAGAGGGGATGGACTCGCCGTAGGCATCTCAATGCTCGCCAAGCATTAAAAATGTTTCGCTACTAATTACTTCTAACAACGATATCTCAAAAACTATTCATCTGATTGATTTAGTGTAAAGAGCAATTTTAATCTGCATTAAATGACTAAGCTAACTAAAATATTCATTTGGATAAGGATTAATACCGAACTAAAGAAAATAACTTTGAAAATAACGTAATGTTTTTAATTAAAAATGTTAACATAAAAGTGGTTATTGTAAGTCAACCGTAAGAGATAGAGATATGCTATCGCGGACTTTTTTGTAGCATTTTTATAGATTTTGAATTCTCTAGTACATTACTTAACTGTATCTTTGCTAGTTTACGCGGCGTTCGCGTGAAAAGTTCCCATTTGGCGAGATTTTTTGCGACCTCTTCAACATTTGTCGCCGTATTTCAGCTAATTTACATAAAAGCATAATAAATTATATACCTAAACCTTCCTCAAGAATTACTCTTTCTATTGTTGAAAACCGTATAAAAATCCGTTCAGTAGTTTTCGAGTTTATCGCGTACAGACAGACAGGAGGACAGACAGGAGGACAGAAAGACGCGGCCGGGGGACTTATTTTTATAATAAGTATAGATACAGATAATCACATTTCTATATTATCGATGTGAATAATTTTAAATAATGTGGTAAGCCACTTTATAAATAAAGAGGTAAAATTTATTTCCTTCTAAAAAATATTATATAAACAAAAACATGTGAAACTACTAAAACCATAATAAAAATTTTTATCACAAAGTTAACAGGTACCTTTATCGATAAAGTTATTGTTAAAATATTTTTCAATGTTATAATATGGATATTGTTTAAAAGTTCCCACTAATAGGTACATTCATTGAAAGGTCAATATATTGAACTTTTAGTCATTATAAATGTAATTTATAACTATTACTTGTAAACGAACAAGAATTTAAATTTTAAACTATTACATTATCATTCGCCGGATATAAAAATGTTTCTTTTTCGAACTTGGCTAAACACTGCCATGTCTATATATTATGAACTAGGTACTTACCAAGTTATTATCCATATCATTATCTGTAGGCGTGCATACAAATATCGCACGTTGCATGAGTCCAACAAAGCACCAAAACGCTTCTGCTTCGCATTTAATCTCGCATAATACAGGTGCAAGTAAATCACTCATGCCTTGTGTGTACCTACAGGTAAAAAAATAATTATAGGTAAGTATCATTAGATTAAAAACGAAATAATTTCGTCTTATTTACTTCGAAAGTAAAATAAAAGATAGTTGAAAACACACTGCTCTCTTCAATTTTCTAGTTTTCGAGAAAATTGATTTTTTTTTGTTTTTGTTCTCATATTTTTATCAATTTGAGTCAAATATTTAATGGTCAATATATGTTATAACAGCGTGAAAGTGAAACTGCAACCATCGATTAAACGACAGTGCTCTCTAGGCATAATGCCAAGTCTACATCATACAATTTTCAAGTACATAAATATCAAGTAATAACGAAGGCACTCACCCTAAGGCTGGATTATATACAGCATAATTTAGTAAAATCTTCTTCATTATCTCTACATTGTAATTGTTTTCTCCAGCAAAGAAGGGATTTCCCCTATCTGTTCGAACCACATCCTTTTCAATAACGCTTTGGACGGTTTTCCAGAAAATGGCGAGTTGTTCGGGAGTCATTTTCTCCAACCTTTTCCTTGTAATTTCATCGTACTCTCTTTTTCTGATTTGTAATATTATTTCTCTTTCGTCATAACTAGAATTATATGGGTAACAGTGTAACAAAAATGGCCACACTTCCCGTCTCAATTCTTTATCGAGCCCGCCGAAGAAAACACATTTTCTTAGGTACAAATCGTCTTCGATCATTCCTTTTCCGTTCATAACTTTTCCATAGAATAATTCAGGAGTTATTTTAGGAACTTTCCCTTCTTCAGGGTGTTGTTCTGACTTCTGCACCTCTGGGCGACATACCATAAAATGTCGATATGGTAAGTTAGACTCTTCTGAACCTAAAATTATTATTTTTAAACTTGATAGCTGATACAAGTAGCTGATACATGTATTTAAACAGAATTTATGTTATTAGTAATAATTTCAGATTGAACATATTTAAGTTCAAATGGGAAAACTAAACGTTTTTATAGTTTAAGTGTAGGTAACCTGCAGAATGTAAATTTATTCTCACATGTACAATAGGGGTTCGGTGTTAAATGTCCATAAAATCTAGAAATTCAACAGTACTTCTGGCCTAAAGTTGTTAACAGTGTCAGTGTATGATTATTTATTATTGAGTCGATGATGCATATACAGAAAAATAGGTGAAATACTTATGTAAATCCTCATTTACCTGGAGTAAGTTTAATATTGTGCAATAAGGAATGCCACCTATGCAATACTTGTGCAAGGTGATCTAATCCGCCATGATGAAAATGCAGTATTTTGTACTGAGACTCTCTCGATGCCACAACAAGTTGACCACAAGTGCAGTTATCATCGTTGAAGAACAATCGTAACGATCGCATCTGGCTCAGATCTACTGAGAATCTGTGCAGAAATAACAAGATAAATTATAAGATCGGCGATCGAAGATCTCAATTATATAATACATATTTTAGTAAACATTAAGTAATATATTTTACAATATATCAGTTATATTATATTAAGAGGTATATGTAGTCTAAGATCATGTATCGTTGTTGATTTCCATCTATAGCATTTTTTGAAAAGTATTCTTTTATTCGTTTTGTTTAAATAATTTTTTTTTTCGTTATTAAGAGAAAGTCTTTTCTAACGGAGTGTAGTATTACTTTTAAAATTATTTATTAGACATATCAATGGCAAATTTCAGGGAAAGAACCGCATTAAGGGCGAAACAATTATTTTAATTTTTAAGAGATTTTTAATTTTACCTTTTCATATAATTTGTATAATTATATTATCTAACTAGCGACAATACGCTCACTTCGCTGGGGTGCGTCCCCTAGGTACGTTTTAATTTTTTTGGGTGGAACCCTAATTCTTTTTCTAAAATAAAAGTAGGTAGCCTAAGTTACTCCTTATAACATCAGTGAATCCCGTTAAAATCAGTCTAGCTGTTTCGTAGATTAGCCGGAACAAACAGACACATAGATAGACAGACCGAGAAAACTTTTAAAGATTGTATTTTTCTTATGAGTACCTACCGTATATAATTTCATATATACATACATTTAGTAAGTACTTAGCTATTACTTTAAAGTTACAAACAGACATTTCAGTTTTATTTATGTGTATAGTTAATAATGAATATATTTTCCCGTAAGCAGCAACAATGCAGAGAATTAAACTTCTAATAGTTATTTGATATAGGTATAGTAAATGCTTCGGCTAGGATCATTAGAACCTAATGACACATTCCAGACGGGTGAGACCTGAGGGAATGCGAGGATAACGATGCTATACGGTTAGAGTTGAAATAGGCACTCATTTGAATATAAAATTTCAGAATGTTAATCTGAAATAACTATAAGCACGCAATCATGATAAAATGTTATTAATACTGTGAATCAGTAGATAGTCGTTTGGTTTATCGAAATTTTCATTTTTTTACATCCGACATACGGTCTACATATTATGTACCTACGTGTATACATCCTAAGAAAAAGCGGATAACAAATTAGAATCTATAATATTTCTTTCTGTCCTGTTTTTGTCATTTATAAGGGGTCACACTTTAAATTTAAAAGAGTTTGTTTATTCCTTTAGGTAGATACATCTGTGCATCGATGAAAATATCTTCCTATTCAGAAACCGGAAGCTTAGCTGCGACTTAAAGCGCAAAGTCTTATCACCCTTCTTGTGGTTTTGAGTTGATATTCGATCAACTTCTTTAGCTTAGCCCTTAGGACTTCGTCGTCGGGGCTTCCGATTAGCACCGCAGGTGTTGCGTATAAGTACAGTGAATATAGTATACTATGCTTTAATAAATAATGTCATTGTTACTGAATTTAAAATCCATATTTAAACTTTTTCGTGTATTACATTTATACATATAATAAAATTGTAACTAAGTTGAATCTGTACATTAAATTATTTTTTAGAAAATCTAATTGAACTAGACATTATTATCAATACAGAGTCCGAATCTATAGTTTTTAGAATTTTTGTCTGTCTGTCTGTTACCGCATCACGAGAAAACCACTGGACAGATTTTGATGAAATTTGGTATGATGGTAGCTGGTTATTCGGGTCAACATATAGCACGGGAAAATATCTCATTTCTGAGAAAAAATACATAAAACTGCATTGTAAGAGTATGTATACTAATATGTAAAACCTAAGAATTTGGTTTTTGGTCATCTGAACGCGGGCGGAGCCGCGGGTAATGTTAGTTTTTTTAATCAGTAAGGCGCATTTTTAGGGTTCTGTATGACACAGTAATTTTCCAAAGAGACTTAAAGCTACATAAGTATATTCCTGAAATTTTATTCATTACTTTTGTATTTTTATATTATAGTAGGGGAGCCCAAGAGGGGATTTTCTGTAGTTACTCGAGCGCGGCAGATTAATATACAGGGGGATACCTTGTACCCGGTTAAGTACCTCCACAAAACATGAGGCCCATATATAAGGCCGCCCGTGAAGGATACAGGATCAGATTAGTAAAAAAAAATTGACCACCAGAAATTCTCGAGCGCGTCAGATTAAGGTAGGGTGAGTTAATTACATCCTAAAAAGTGTATATTCCACTAATCTGACAATTTGAGAGTGACGTAAAAAAAGGGGAGGGCAACAAAGTTGTAAAAAAAACGTCATCACGACATTCTCGAGCGTAGCTAATTTTTTTTATTTTGAAGGAAATAATGCAAGAATAATGAAAAATATATAATCTGACGATTTCCGCAAGCCGAAATAACAAAAATTCGTCGATAAAGTTAAATGCGTGCAGCTGTGTGATGCCTACATTTCCTTCTCCGCGTTTCTATTCCTCTCTCACTCTTTCTCTATCTATTACTCTCTCACTCCGTCCCCACTCTGGTTTCTGCCGCCATGACACCATCACAGCTGATCATAAAGAGTCTAGGGGTGTGCGAACATCGTTCGAATCGAATCGAATATCAATATTCGATTCGAAATTCGAAAAATTTCGAATAATTCGTAAAAATTTCGAATAATTCGAAAGTTTTCGAATATTTCGCGAATTAGTGAAATATCTCTGGATCTTCAATTCGAGAGATATCGTGAACGAAAGAAAACCGAAAAAAAGTGTTTTTTCGGGATTACTCCGAAATTTTTGGTTCGATCAATTAAAACCTGAAAATAACTTATGAGGATAATAAAACTGCGTCAAATGCCGTCAACCGCGTGAAAATTGCTTGATCTATTCAAAAGTTATTGCGGTTTGAAAATTCCAAAAATAGTGTTCTATGAAACCTCTATCAGACTTTCGAGCTGGGAGAGCTCAAATGCATAGAAATATTATTTCTTTGAACTCTGCGAGCTCAAAATATCACATAAATTATATTTTGAGCTCAAAAATGCCATAAGTACAATTTTAAGCGCACAGGAATGGAATTAGCGGGAAGTTGCAGGTATGGCCTTTAAGGTGAACCGTTTTTCTAATTTTTTTTTGTCAGATCAGGCGAATCCCTCTAGATAATCGTCAGATTATGAGACAGTACGTTTAGAACATAAAGATGAACCATATATATCTTAATCTGACGCGCTTGAGTATTTCAAAATGGCGATTTTTTTTTGCACATTATGAAAATGGCCGCGAGTTTGCGTCCCATCGAAATCGTCAGATTAGTGAATGAGAGCTTTTTTTTGGTGCAATTAACACTCCCTTAGAAAATCTGACGCGCTCGATTATTTTTTTTTTTCACTTTCAACCCTTAAATACAACCACCCGCATCATGCAAACGATCAGATTAACATACGTACATTATTAAAAATACGTAGGGCATTGATGCTATCAATATCTGACGCGCTCGAGGATGTCTATGCAACAGTTTTTTTTTACATATTTAAAAATCTATAGCCGCTTCCCCCACCGATGTAAAGGTATATATCATATAACATTTTTTTCTTCTTATCATCTAAGCTTTGCATCCCAATAGGTCTCTACGACGCTCGAGTAAATCCCCATTTAGCTTCGTGGGCTCCCCTACCATTAGGAAGTAATAATTTCGAATTTTTCAAGTCATAATTACATATTGCCTATTTAAATAACAAATACTTTTTCTAACATTAATATAAAAGAAGAGATAGCTAACTATTTACATATTGAAATAACCTTGCAAATTTTGTAAAGCATGGGTAAGCACTAAGTATATTTTAACAAAACAGTGGGTCGTTTCCGGTATATCCACTGAAGATGACCTCTTTAGTTTTACACCAAACAGTGGTGCCATTAGATAGTAGGTATTTGTTAAATATGATTGATATCGGTAACATTACTAATATTATAAAAAAAAATAGTTAAGTCGTCTGGAACAAAGGAATATCAAGTATGTTTTAAAGTTTGCAAATTACTGACTGAAAATGTTACATAAAAGGCTTGAGAAGTAAAATCAGAACGTAAGCATATTAAAAGTTAAAACTCACCTTCGACATTTCAAAGGTTGTCGTCTTTGCGGTACTGGAGAGCTGTGAATACTGTCGGGGAACACCAAGTTATGTTTTAGCGCTAAAAACTCGGGTGTGCTCATCCAATTAGGATTTCCTTCGTCACACGAACTCATTGACAAAGATCTCATAAAACTCCCCGAGACCGAGTCTGGGGTCAGGTCAGCGTTCTCTATATTTGGGTTGGCAATTGTAATATTAACAGATGTCATTGACTGAGATCGCACATGTCGTTCATATTCGAATATTTTATCATTCGATTCGTCTTTCTCCAAGGACACAAAAACATCATCTTTTCTGGAATCCACAGATTTTATAGTGGGCTTAGAACTTGATGTTAATTCTTCTTGCGTCGTATCATTTTGGGTATACCTTGTATCACTTGACTTTACACTTTGTTTGTCTGAATTTGAGTTAAGACTAGTGGTATCTGATGAATCAGAAAAAGCGTTGTCATTATTAACATATTTTCTGGGCTTCTCCGTAACAGACTTTTGTCTAGGTATGTCTCGAGGATTTGTAGGTTTGATGCTGCAAACGAGTTCTTCATTGGGATTTGTTTCAACAGCGGATGGACACTTTCTTAACGTAGAGTTAGGTATCCAATTCAAGAAAAGCGTCGGTCGTTTGGCATTATTGTGTTGGTCGGTAAATACCTTTGTCGTCACAGTTAAGTAGCCCGGATGGTGTACGATGTCCAATTCATGTCTTGCAATGGTCGGTGGATGAACGCACACATTATTCTTACAAAACAGAATTTCATTGTCGACATATTCGTGGGGCTCCTCGTTGTCATCAAACTCCAGTCCTAGAAAATAGCTTGACGCACGTTTTATGAGATCCGGAAGGGGCATATTGTTTTACATTATAATAAATCTGGTTTTGCGACTTAGCGTTATCACTCGCGTCAAACTCATTTAAGCGCGGCAAGAGTACTGCGCGCATGTAAACACCCACACTGGGTTAAATGTGTTGATAACGCGGTATTGATCGCCGGAGCCGGCGCTCGCGGTAACGTCAGCTGTGGCTGTGACACAATACCCCAGCGTCTTGCTCATATTACGCGTATTGTGTATCGTTGACCTGTTAGCATTTATATTTTTTATAATTATTGAAAATAAACTTTGAAAATATTATATATATAATATATATATATATTGTATATATATTATGCTAATACAAACGATGCATTATTTTTTTAATAATTGGAATCATTAGCGACCCACCTTTTCCTCTGACCCTATCTGCACCCTGCATCATTTTTAGTAATTTCTTTAGCGCATGTAACGCTCCAGACCATAAGCTAGCTATATTTAAAAATCAATTCAATCCCTTTAGTTTTCGCTGTTACGTAAAAGAGGGACAATTTAACTAGCAAACACATGCATACTTCAATTGTATACTTAATATCTACTTCTAGCATTATTTTATTAAGCACTAGCGACTCACCCTCGCTTCGCTCGGGTTCGCCTCTAGACAAACAAAAACAGATCTATCCCTCGGGAAATATATGTTACTTTTTAACCCTGCTACCCACTAATAATTTTTGTATATGATATTATTGAAATTTTAGTATCAAGGACCACGCGGTTAAACCAGTTATTGTTTTCCTATGGGAATGCGAGATTTTTCTGTCCCTATTTATCTAGTAAATTTTTTATCTATTTAGATATGAACAAGGAGGTTTTTGCTGGATCTTTGTTACAAGAATTTGTATACTAATTTGCGGACTAAAATCAATTAAGTTTATATTTGACATAGGTCATTTGAAATTGACACAGTTGACAGTGCCATCTATGATTTTTTTGTATAATCTGGCCCTGAGAGTACCTTAACCCTTTGTCACAAGTATTATTTGAATATTGGTAAAGTAAATAAAAAATACAACAAAAAAGAAGTTTACGGCTCGTTTAAGAGTGTTATTATGAATATTTTATATCGACAAAATGAACTTAATGTAATACTGATTTTTTATTTTGATAAGAAGATTAAAATAAAATCATATGTTGCGTCGTGGGACACCAGATCTGAAGTCTGGTGCCCTAAGACACCAGATAGGAACGAAGTTCCTTATTACATAAATATTAATTTCAAGTTCTAGTCGAGGTAAAAAGAAAATAATTATTCGGGTATATTTTTTTTATTATGATTTTTTTATCGATAAAATCAAAAACTACTTAACAAAATTATCTTTAACACTTTTATTTTATTCATAATGATTCATAAAAATATATAATTATAATAATAACATTCATCACGTAGACTATACATTACAGACACTGTATAGCGAACACACATCAAAGTGATCAAGTAACTAATAACTTTATATTATGTACCTACATAAAAATCTTACTCCACGCATTTTTGTTACAGATGTTTTTTGCCGGCTAGAGTACCCCTCCGCAATGCTCCTTAGGGAACTAAGTTCCAATATTTGCAAAGATCGTATATTTTGCATACGATTTCGTACATACTTCGTATCAAATGCAAATAGCAAAAAGGTCGTAACTCGTATGAAATATGAATTCTATTTTTTATTTAAATCGTATGGTTGGCATCACTGCACTAAAAATGAAGCCAGGCAAGAAGCCAAACTAGGAGAATAAAGTTGCCAGTGGTTAAAACGTCCAAAAAATTTATTTACGATAATATAATTTGTGAAAATAAAAACTTTTTATTTTATAAATTATTTCATATTTATCATAAAAAATCTAGGAGCAAAAGTAATATTTTCTAATATTATTATAGACTACCATTGCCCGCGGCTCCGCCCGCGTTCAGATGACCAAAAACCAAATTCTTATGTTTTACATTTTAGTATATTCTTAAATTGCAGTTTTTGTACGTTTCTCAGAAATGAGGCATTTTCCCGCAGTAAAAAGTATCCTATATGTTAATCCGGATAACCAGCTATCACCATACTAAATTTCATCAAAATCCCTTCACTGGTTTTTCTGTGATGCGGTAACAGACAGACAGACAAAAATTCTAAAAACTATAGATTCGGCCTTTGTATCGATAATAATATTTCAATAACATTTTCCAAAAAATATCTAATGTACAGATTCGGCTTAGTTACAATTTTATTACATGTATAGAAAAAATTGGTAGGTACCGAAAATAAAAGAAAATTGTGGACAATAATCTAATAGATATTTTATATATTCAACGATAAATTTTCGCATATCATTTAAATATCTACTCAGTGTTGCTGTGTTGTGTTAAATCATATGCAACCACCTTTTATACTAAAAGAAAATCTAAATCGTTAATCTCGACTTCTTTTTATGCATGTACTAGCGTCTTACCCTCACTTCGCTCGGATTCGCCTCTAGAAAAACAAAAAGAAATCTATATAACAAAGTAACCTGTGTTCTGATGTAGGAGCTATATTATCGTAAAATTTCATTAAAATCCTGTATCAAATCGTCATCAAATCAATTCAGTAGTTTTTGAGTGAAGGAGTAACAAACATCCATACATCTATACATCCATATACTCTAACAAACTTTCGCATTTTTAATACTAATAGGATAAGTTATAAACTTAAGGGGAAGACTTACTTATAAATATAATAATACTTTCTAATAAAACGCAATTTTCAGTGCCCAAGCATACATTTTATTCTTTCCAACATAATTCTAGATGTGATGTTATATTAACAGCTGTTTCTGTTGTGTCGTCTTGTTGTATTGGCAATAATTCCTCTGTAAATCCAGGTGCTGATTTATTACGGCGAATGTATTTAGCTAATGTTTTACGATGAGGTAAACATTTGTTAAAAGTTTTTCTCACGTATTCGTAGCCTTGTGGAGAGTAAGAATCCAATATTAAACTAAATTTTTTGGTAGCTGCGCTAAACGTTCTTACACCTTTACGTCTTGGTCGGAAATAAAGATTGTGAAATAACTCAAAGGGTACAATGCTGGTATCTTGTTGTTTATGAATATGAATATTGGTCAAACCCTTTACTTTTGCTTTTAATGATGACAGACTTTTCGTTAGACGACGGACTTTTTGCTGCAGAGATTTAATTTTCTTTTTATCAGAGTCCAATTTGCCAGGCATTACAGCGGTTGAAAATAATAACTGGGTAGGTTTGATATCCAGATCCAAAGAAGTCTCATTGAAGGACTCTTTGGAACCAATCGACCAGTCACTTTCAGTACTAATTTTAGGTCTAAAAATCAAGTTCTTTGTTGGAACAGCATGTTTGTGTAATCGGTTACGTAGATGGCTTTTAGCGAAATAGATATCTTTATTCTCAAAATGTGCAGAACAAACTACACTGTAAGGGGATGGAACCCAAGTTTCATCTTCTCTATTCTTTATTATAGCCTTAGTCCACTTACTTCTCAAAATCTTATCTTTCGGAAATCTGAAAAAAAAACCATATATATTTTACTACTCATAAATAAAATAAAGCAAATCTATACACATAATAAAATTGTAAGTAAGCTGAATCTGTAAAATAAATATTTTTTGGGAAACCTTATTGAAATAAATATTATTATCGATACAGAGACTGAATCTATATTTTTTATAACTTTTGTCTGTCTGTCTGTGACCGCATGACGGAAAACACCACTGGAGGAATGGAACTGGAGGAACTTTGATGAAGTATGACGATAGCTGGGTATCCGGGTCAACATATAGGATACTTTTTACTGATATATCATCTCTGAGAAATCTATAGTAAAAATTAAAACGTAAGTAGGGACAAACCCGAGCGGAACGAGGGTGAGTTGCTAGTCTATATTAATATTATAAAGAGGTAAAGTTTGTGATATTGTGAGTTTGTGAGGTTGTGGCGTTGTAGGGGGTAATCTCTGGATCTACTGAACCGATTTAGATGAAATTTGGTAAGAAGATAGTTTAAGATCCTGGGAATGACATAGAATACTTTTTATCCCGGAAATCCTCTCTTAAAGGGGTGAAAATGGGGATGAAAGTTTGTAATTTGTATGGGGAATTAACCTAGGGACGAACCCGAGCGAAGCGAGGGTGAGTCGCTAGTAGTAAATACATATATTACAAATATTATATGTATAGATTTTCTTCTTATTTTACAATAGCTATTCATATTTATTTAGAAAAATAATAATTTTAATAAATTCAAAACATTTTAGTTTAGTTCGATACAAACTTAATGGCGGCTCGGATATTAGCTGCTTGCGCAGGTAAGCAGCTAATATCCGAGCCTAAGCAGTCTCGTCCCTCTGGGCCCCGTTGGTAACTTATAAGTTATAATTAATTTTGTGTTCTGCGCATCGGAACGTACTATGTTCAGAGCCACCATTAAGTTTGTCATCAGGTTGCTCTACCTACATCTATACATATAATATAATTGTAACTAAGCCGAATCTGTACATTAAATATTTTTTGGAAAATCTTATTGAAATAAACATTATTATCGATACAGAGGCCGAATTTATAGTTATTAAAATGTTTGTCTCTGTCTGTCTGTTACCGCATCACAGAAACTACTGGAGGGATTTGAGGAAATTTGGTATAATGATAACTGGTTATCCGGGTCACCATATAGGATACTTTTTATTGCGGGAAAATATGTCATCTCTGAGAAAAAATATAAAAACTGCAATGTAAGAGTATACTAATATGTAAAACCTAAGAATTTGGTTTACGGTCATTTGAACGCGGGCGGGGCCGCGGGTAATGCTAGTATGTATATAAAAATATAATATAAGTAAATATACCTACATGTCTCACTAAATAAAAAAATAAATAGACAATAATGGCAACACCATATTTAGTCTGTGCCTGTGGTATGATTTGAAGATGTGTTCTAAGTTTGTAATATTATAATACTGTTAGAAACAAAAACAATTCTATTTATTGTATTTAACATTCTTACCGATGAAATGATATACCAGAATCAGTTTTAATATTTCCTGAGGAGTTTCTGCAATGTTTTACAATACAATACGGCATTATGTCTTTCTAATCAAGCCTCTTTTTCGACGTACACTCCCGAACGCAACCTCTTAACACTACGGGCGGAACTTCGCAACTAAAAGTATAAGACAGACAGAGCGTGAGGAACCGTGATTGACGCCTAAAATGGTATTCTATTTATATGCCTGCAGTGCGGGAAAATCCGAGAGAAACGCACACACTGACACTAAAATTAAATGTGTTTGGCTTCACTTTTTTGATTATTACATTTTGTAAGAATATTATTAATTAATTAATTAAACATAATATTTTTTCCTTTGGAGAAGTTATGAAGAATTAAGTATATTCTTTATAGATTTATTTGGCCGATTTATTTAGTGTGTTTTAAAATTTGGTAAATAAGTTTCAAATACTTCTACTACATAAATGTACAAAATTATCGGCTGCAGTTTAGAATATGGGACATTACCCCTGGCGGAGTGGGTGGTATTTCTGGATAGGGGACGTGATAGGGCGTCGAAAAGTTAAATAAAAATTTTTCCGAAAACGTACGAGTAAAAAGTTATTGAGACTTAAAGTTACAACATCTCCATACATTATTTTGACATTACTACCATTTAGACACTTGGAGTCAAAACGTCACTTTCAATTGTCAAAATGATCTCCAGATGATTGTCTTTATTTGTACTTGCTTGAAATTCGAATTTTCTAGTTTTCTAGTCATTTATGGCACTCGCCGGCCGCTACCGCGGCACGCTCGCTTCGCTCGCTCGGCTCGTGCGTTGTGGCAACTGTTCTAACCTAACCTAACCCAGATATGAGGAATAATAAATAAATAATCTTAAATGTTCTAACCTAACCTAACCCAGATATGAGGTTAATAAATAAATAATCTTAAATGTTCTAACCTAACCTAACCCAGATATGACGAATAATAAATATATAATCTTAAATGTTCTAACCTAACCTAACCCAGATATGACGAATAATAAATAAATAATTAAAAATATTCACAGATAAAAAATGATTTTTTTTACTAAATGTACAATTGTAAAACAATATATTTTACATAAATCAGATAAAAAATCATAAATGTATTTATGAAACGAAAATAATATTTTTCTTTTTATTTATTTGTTTATTAATATTACCAACAGAAAAAGCAAAAATAATCAAATATAATCTGTTGTCATTTAAGCGGTAATATAAAACAAAGTGTCAGTTTTGCTTTTGTCAAAATGTAAGATCATTTTGTTTGTGTTGTGAAATTATTAAAATATTAAATACAATAAAGCATTAATTGTTGTGAAAATATGTCTTGTACATAAAAAAGGATGCGTACTATTCGTTAAAGGTATGTTTATCTGTTGTAATCACTTATTTAGGTAAAGAAATGTATGGAAATGTGTTAGATATGTTATAACTTTAAGTCTCAATAACTTTTTACTCGTACGTTTCCTCCAAATATTTATAATATATTTTGACTCTCTGTCACCTCCCCTATCTAAAAATACCACCCACTCCGAATGGTGGAAAAGAAATATATGAAAATGTATGGAAATGTTGTAACTTTAAGTCTCAATAACTTTTTACTCGTACGTTTTCGGAAAATTTTTTATTTAACTTTTCGACGCCCTATCACGTCCCCTATCCAGAAATACCACCCACTCCGCCAGGGGTAATGTCCCATATTCTAAACTTGTGCCAAATTATCTATTCGTCTTCATATGGCTGAAACGTATTCATATTACTTGCCTCACTTTTTGTGCGTAATGCTCTGTCTATACTTTTTTATTGGTCTGAGGTAGTACTCTTTAAAACTCCAAAGAGTGTTTTCTGATCTGTTAGTAGTTAGAGTAATGGGGGTCTATAATAACAATTAGTCGAAGAGCAATGAAAAAATAAACCAGACCTAGTTCTATACTTCTCTATCTATTTACGATCGTATAACTCGCGTCATCTAAAAAGAACGCTGGAAGAAAGTGGAGGGGGTATGTTTGCGCATGGGTATTGGGTATACTCGCGCTCAAAAGTACTAAGCCTATTATTTTATTTTTCATAGCATGTCGCTCGCGGCTTCATATATTAGTTATTGGTAGGGACATTGAAAAATATATTATATAAAAATATTACTTTTTTATTTTATTTTAAAATAGAATCATCAGGCTTTGTCATTAAATAGAATTAAAAACATGTTTATTTCAGTGTAAAATGTTTTAATCTTTATATATAAAAACCGCCGTCGCACCTTTTACCACCAATTCTTCGTTCATAACGTTCTTCGAAACAGACCTAAATTTTAGATACTAATAATAAAAACTCTTGAATGACCAAAATTCCTAATATATCCTAATTAACTATGATTTAATGCACATTCTTATATTACAAGTTTTTTTATTACTTTGATTTGAACATTTTGTCGTAAAGTTTTTTTATTAGTTTGATTTGAACATTTTGTCGTAATTAATGCAATAATGGTATAACACAAGTCAGAATTAAGAAATATCAATGTAATGTAAATAAATGTAATGAAGCTAAATAGTTTTAAATTATATATATATATATATATATATATATATATATATATATATATATATATATATATATATATATATATATATATATATATATATATATATATATATATATATATATATATATATATATTAAATCTTAAGGCAGAGACTAAAAACTGAAATCAAAAAATATTAATGTTGTTGATAATTAATGATCATCACAAGTAAAATAGATGCTCTTATCATTATATTACAATTTTTGTTATGTTAATATTATAATGAAGTATTTTTTAATCAAAATATCAAACAGAATGTAACCACTATAAAATTTCTACGTGAAAAGAAGCGGCATCCTTGTTTTTTACATCAACGCCGCATGATGGCGTTTCCGTTGCATAATTATTATTAATTGACGCATGCGCCACACATTGCAATCAGCTGTCAGAAAGAACATAATCACGTAAAAAACAAAATTATTTGTGTCTTTAGATAATTCCCGTCAATATGGCGGGGCAAAATCCAGGATCACCAACTGACTTTCAATATTTTTACGAGGATGAAGTGTATAAAATCAACAACCGTGGTCAAGTTGTCTTCGGCCTGGTATTGGAGAATTACGAAGCCAATTCTAGTGATCAAGAGAGCGACATAGAAACACCTATTCAAAAAGGAGAAATTCGTGTGGTCTGGCACCCATCAGGCACCGAGCGTGTTATTACAGAAAAAGCGGTAAGTTAAAAAAATTTCGAAGTCATCAATATTAGTAACTTTTTTATTTATTATTTTTAACACAATTATTATATTATCAGCGTTAAAATAAGTCATGTGGAATTTAAATGTATTATATATAATATATTGCATACACATTACAACTGTTGGGGGTATTATAAGAAAAAAGCATGAATTAATATTCTTAGAACTTAGAAAACGAATACCTACAACTAATATAAATTAAAAATGGTTTTATACTTAGATTTTGTACTTAAAACTATGCTTTAATTAACTTTGCTTTTTATTAAATAAAAAACATAACATGTTATACAGATTTTTTTCTAAAACAATCTACTATTTCTTAATTTTAAATTGACTTTTTATAGCACAGATATATAAAAAAAAATCGAAGTCATAATTTTGATTAAGCCATTTAAATTTTCCATGTAAAAAATAAAAAAATTATACTATATGAATTTACAATATTATTATTATATCATTAAAAGATTATTTTATTTATTGATAAACTAATATGGTACACAACAAATATAATATAATTTATAACAATTATTTTATTAGGAAAAATTTTTTTTTAATTAGAAATTAAAATGTTAAGTGTACTATTATAAAAAAGTAGTTTTTTTTAAAGTATAGTAAGTTTTATATTTCAGAAATCTATTTGAGAAATATACAGGTACACACAATATTTAGTATTGTCATAATTGTAACTATTAAATACTGATTAAAATATATTTAGAATACTGGAACTCTTCTGAGTATACAATATAATTTGTCAAGAAAAATAAATATGATTACAGGTTGGCTTAGCAGATCGTTCACTTATGCCTGGTGATGTTGTTCGTCGTCTAATTGCTGGTAAGGATACCCAGCGTGGCTACTGTAGAGATATTGTGATGACAGCAGCATTACAGATTGTGGGCACGAAACATGTCATTCCAAATGTTGCCAGTGAAAGATTACAGCCTTTAGAAGAATTCACACCTGATTTGGCAGTATGTCTCGATTCTTGGGTTGGAACATCTAAGGCGAGTAATAAATTTTTACTTTCATCCTAAAACAACTAATTAAAATATAATTCATGTTAATATAAATAATGATTACGATTTATTTATTTTCCTAAATTACCAGGCTTCATAAATATAATGTTTTGATTTTAGGCCGTCCATAGCAAACTCCGCCTAGTTTCAGCAGATGGATCACGTTTAGAATATCCCGACTTAGACACCTGTCCTCTTGAAGACTACTCAATGCGTCGTCGTCGCTCTACGCCATATTCTTCATCAGAATTCTATCCAGGTCAAGTTGTATATGGCCCACTTGGATCTTTAGATAGCGCCAACTGGCTCCACATGACCAAGGAAATGAAGGCGGCAAGAAAACACAAGATGCATGATCATAAAGTGAGTTTATATTTCTTTGTTAAATCCTTTTTACTTTGAAATTTCTGTATATACAAAAAAGTTTTTGGTAAATGCCATTGAGACCAACAGTCTCAATTCTACATATTCCAATAACTATCTTAAGACCTGACCTGATTGGTCTCAACTAGGATGTCAGGGTTTGCAGCCTAGGCACTAAACTAATAAAAGAGTTAAACAAGAAAGTATTAAGTATAAACCATGTTATAGTGTAGCATTGGGCATAGATATAGGGCCCCCGGCTAATATTTGTGCGGCCCGCGACGTGTTGCCAACCTACCACCATTACGCAAATTTTCCCGTCTTCACTGACGGATAAGTCAAACAAGCACTGCGCCTGGCAACAACTAATATTAATGTTAATATTGATAGTAGTGTAAATGATAAATTAATGAAGAATTAAATTAAATTTATTATTATCGACGATTATTTTTCCAAAAAAAAAATTGAAAAAAAAAGGTATTTGTTTTTGCGGCCAATTTCAATCTGTGTAGTGATTTGTGGTTGTAATTTAATTGAACTTATAAGGAAGAACAAATGTAAAGATATAGCGATAAAAAGCTTGATTAAATATAATAATATTACAATTATTTCCAATGATAATTGAAAAAACGTCTTTATAATTATAAGCTTTATAATAATTCGGTACATAATATGTATATTGTAAAAGAATTTTCAGAATCGGATCAGTAGTAGTTTCAGATATTATTTTCTTCATACTAACTTATTAAACTTTTAATTTGTACGTCATGTTTTTATTTCGTGGCAAAAATGATTTTTTATCTTATTTGTTCCAGTTCACAGTAGAGGCGGTGGTGACGGAGAGCGTGAGCGTGCACTGGCAGTGCCGCGCGCTGTGCACGCACCCCGCCGACGCGGCCGCGCCGCAGCAGCCCAAGTTCCTGGTCGAGGGTGAGCCACTTTATATAGTATAATATTTTTATTTACACGAATATTTGAAGCTTTCGCCAGTTCTTCTCAGGTCTGAGGCTTTTTCTTTCCGAACTGGCAGTAGACTCGTGACGTTCAGTAAAATATTGTAATAATTTAATGCTAATAATAATAATAAATAAATAAATGTAGGGACATTAACACACGGCGCCATCTAGTACCATGTTAAGCTACGAGGCTTGTGTTATAGATACCAGATAGTTGATACAGTACACATATATAACTTTAAATACAAACATATTATAAATATTAACACCCATGACTGAAGTACAAACATTCGTGCTCATCACACAAATGAATGCCCCCAGCGGGACTCGAACCCGCGACCGCTGGCACAGCAAGTAGGGTCACTACCAACTGAGCCAAACATGTCGTCAAAAAAACATGCTGAATAAAATATTTTGAATTTTAAATGGATCTATTTTGATATTGTCGCGGTTTTTCGGGTTTTGCATTTTTCTAAACGCGAACCGCGTTTCATTTCAAATGACTAGTATAGTGTTTTCCATTCACTTTCCTTTATTGTAGATTTAAAAGAATACCGTGACAAATGTATGTATATGTAGTGATGTATGTACGTTGAATCAAGATCTCGATGTACTAGACACAGATAGTATTAAATATCCATAAGCTAGCTTCTGCTGTGGAGTGTACTTATAGAATGCACAGGGCTGAAAATTAAAATTAATTTATATGCACACAAATACATATAAACTTTATCTATTTTATTCCACTCCCGATACTAAAAACGAAAATTTCAGTGTATAATCTCAATATTTCGGTATATAATGTTAATTCATCGTCTTGTTTAACTATTATAGAGCATGACCTTCGTCATGAGATAAAGTTTTATAAACAAGTGAATTTTTATTAATTTAGCAAATTAAAAATAGTTGTTATTCAAACATACATTTTATTACTAAAATCATTTATTTAAACTACATCGGCTGATATTTTGTTTTCGAATTTATAATTTGTTTTGAAAGATTTTACTATTTTGTTCACAATACATCAACTTATTTAATACAAGCATTGCCCGCGGCTCCACCCGTGTTCAGATGACCAAAAACCAAATTCTTAGGGTTTTACATATACTCATATACAATGCAGTTTTTGTATTTTTTCTCAGAAATGAGATATTTTCCCGCGGTAAAAAGTATCTTATAACATATAAGACCCGGATAACCAGCTATCGTCATACCAAATTTCATCAAAATCTGTCCAGTGGTACTTTCGTGATGCGGTAACAGACAGACAGACAGACAGACAGACAGACAGAAATTCTATAAAACTATAGATTCGGACTCTGTATCGATAATAATGTCTATTTCAATTAGATTTTCCAAAAAATATTAAATGTACAGATTCGAATTAGTTACAATTTTATTATATGTATAGATTTATGGGTTAAACTAAAAATGTTAGTATATATTTTATGACATTTCTATTCATATTTTCCTTAGTACTCGTCGTATAGTATGTAATACCGAGTGACATAATTGTATATAAATCAATAAAAATCTTAACAGCCTTACAATTGTAAGTTCAAGGCGCGCTATAAATAAACCAATCAATACGTAAGAATTACATGTTAAGACGTGTAAAAGTCTAATCAATAATTTCTTTTTAACTTAAAAGATACACTGGCCTTATAATTGCTTTAAAAGTAATTAATCTATCCTTAGTGTGGATGTTTTTATTTATTTATTTAAGACCGGTTTTGAGGTATACAATCTAATAGTGGTAGAGATCCTATTTATTAAATTGAACTAAGAAAATCTGCTAATTGTGAGCGAAGATATTGTTATACATACAAAAATATAAAAAAAAAAATTAAACAAGTACATACTAACCTTAAGTCTTGGTAAGGTATATTTAGTTTTTACACTCGCCCGTGGTTCTGTTTGCATGTTTCAATGATAAAAAAATCTTCATTTCACACTAGTGAAAGTAAAAGAAAGTAATACTCTCTCATAATACTTTCTTAGATTTACGCGATTACGTTTTTTTTTTATTTTTGAAATCATCTTGTAAATTTGTGGGTAAGAACCAGGGCTGCCAGTCGAGACAACTGCTGCCAGTAGAGCCAACTTTTTTTATACCGCTCGGTCACTGAAATTATACCAAATCAAATTTTAGTATACAAATTAACAAAACTGTTGAGAAATAGTCTGTGACCAATAAAAAAACCGATAAAAATACGTAACGCCTTAAAATGAAATATACCTACATAAAATAACCATATTTTACAATATACGTATCCAATTATACGATCTGGCAGCCCTGAAAAGAACTATCTGTAACAAGTATATGACCGAGTAATGACCTTTAAGACGTTTAAAACCTTAATCTTTCCCGTGACCATGATTTGTCTAAAGCATTAGAGAAACGCCGGGAACCAAAAATCAAAATAAAAAAAATCCGAAAAGATAGTTTTATTTAAAATATTAAAAAGTTGTAACTTTATTTTAATTTACGGAATAAAAATTACCCTATCATCTTATATCTAAACGTCAATGTCTAGATTTCCAGTTAAAGTCGGATAAACGAACAGACACATGTATCCAAGGCTTTTTGGGGTTTGTTACTAGGTGTGCGAACTCAGTACTGTTCTGTTTTTCTATAAATCTGAATAGACAGAAATATAAAAAAAAAAACTTGTTTTTACTATTAGAGTAATAAGAGCGAGCGATATCTCAACCGCAAAATATTTTTATAATCTTCGGAAAGATTTTATAAACAAGCTATATTAATAGGTACAGAAAAGCGTGGACAGTAAAGCTTGAGACGAATTGTAAAGAGATCTTTTATAGGTTCACCTGGATATCTTGTGCCTAACTTCCATAACGCAATAGACCATGCACCCTGGTGGTAAATCCATGAAATGCTATCTAGATAGTTGATATCTCTATAAAGTGAAGATTCACTTGAAAATATTTCGAGGAAAAATTGAGCAGAACTCATAACAACGTGTTAGATATTAATAAACAGCTATTATTCATACCCACCGTATAGAAAACATACAGAGTATCGATTATTTAACGATGCAAAGTGTGCATTGACGCAATAAAGGTTAAGAGCGCTAATAATATACTTATAAAGCCTTATAATGAAGATGTTTTATTTCAGGAGAAGATTTGAAGAAACTAAAGTTATTGAATGTGTTCGAGCCCTGTACACTGCAGGTCGGTGACAGGAATTTCCTTACAATTAGTTCAGAAGACACTTTTGTTAGCAAGAAGCAATGGCGGAAACAACAAAGTAAGTATAGTTATTTATATACATACTATATTCTATTTTACACCACTTCAATTTTAGTCGCCAGTTCCCGTTTTGTTAATAAAATTCAGAATATAATATAGCTATTTGTGAAATCGGCATTTATAATTAGAACAAGGCAGGCAGTATTGGTCTCATTTGTTATTGTACTCTGACGATTTTTCAAGTTGTTTTTGGTTAAAAGTAGTTTTTGGTTGCTCAAATATGAGACATGAACCCAACTTTTTCGGTCCAGTAGATTTTAAGAAAATATATTACTTATGATATAAAAACAAAACATACACCTGTTTCTATTAGGGATCTAATTTCTCATCAGATATACTGAAGTGTATGGTCAAAGTGTAATAATAAAATAATTTTTAAGTAAAATGGTATGTAGGTTTCAAAATCAGTATTTATAAAATATTCATTTCTTCCTTGAAGGACGATTTTTATCCTCGAATTCACAAAGCACGATCTTCTATAATGAGTTAATTAAGAATCATTAAATCCAGTCGACAGTTGACGAAAATAATCCATAACATACAAAGTTATTTTTTGAAGTCGCCAATGAAGCGCTCTCTATATTGAAATATTTTAAAATATTATTAAATATTTGCCAGCGTGTTGGACTACGACATGATTTCCCTCGCATTGAAGGGAGGCCCACCCTCAGCTGTGGGACGTTAAAAAGGGCTGAATACATATATAGTATTAAATATTTTAGTAAAATAAACTAAATATTGTGTATATTTGGTTACAGGTAAATACTATAGGAATCTCCGTAAACAAACTCGTCCAACTAAAAAGACATCAAAGACTGAAACAAACTCAACCGACCACATGCCGTCGAGGCCCAAGAAGCGCGCCTCTGCACATCGGAAACTTAAGCCTGCTGATGTGAGTTTATATCGAATTACACAGATATGTACATTTTAAATGAATCGGTTCTGTTCGGTTACTGAATATTTCTGTCAAGAAGTTCTCAGTAACAGCCCGTAGTTGGAAAGTTGGCGGTGTTTCACCCCCGTGCCTCGGAGAGCACGTAAAGCCGTCGGTCCTGCGCCTTAACTCTCACAATAGTGTCTCGTGTCGTCCCACCGGAGTATGAGAGTGACAGGAATAGAGAGTGCACTTGTGTCTGCGCGTACACGCGCTGCACTAGAAATATCTCCTGCGTATATAGAAAGCTAGTCTCAATGAGGTTGGCTGCTGTGGCGAAAATCGGTCTGAAGGATATTATATACTATTATTATAAATGCGAAAGTTTGTGAGGATGTATAGATGTATGGATGTTTGTTACTCTTTCACGCAAAAACTACTGAATGGATTTTAAATGAAACTTTACAATAATATAGCTCATACATCAGAATAACACTTCGGCTACTCTTTATCACAGTAAAATGTACGGTTCCCGTGGGATAGATTTGTTTTTGTTTTTCCGCTAGTATAAGATAAAATAATCATTTACAGCCTGAAATGGAAGTGGACGGCGATAAGCTAGAATCGCTAGATGACGCCCTGAAGGCGGACGCCAACTGCCCAAGTATCAAGATCGAGCCGAGCAGCGACGTGTCGCTGCCCATCGCGAGCAGCCAGGAGGAGACCACGGAGGAGAAGAACGACTCGGGCATCAGGTGTGCATTATATTACATTATATTACTGTAACTTGTATAGATTATATTTATTGGCAATTTCAATTATTGATTTTGTCATAGGATATGTTCTGTTATTTTTGAATGTCGGTATTTGTTTGTTAGTTTTATCGAAATCGTTCAGCAATTTTGTTATGTAATGAATCAAATATATTAATTCTTCGCTTCGTTCGAGTTTCTTTTGCTATACATTTAAATGCTTTGTTTTAAACCTCTTAGACAACGCAATTCAATTAAAGTTATTATGATTTTTGATACTAAATATATTTTTATTGGAATAAAAATGCCTATAGTACTCGGCTGTAATGTAGCTTTCTATAAGTAAAAAAATCTTCAGAAATGGATCAATACATTTCAAACTTGCAATCTTTACCCCTCTATAATATAGGCATATTATTATAGATTGATTAATTAATAAGTACCTAATAACAACAAGATAGTGATATATGAATAACGAAAGGGTTATACTAAAGCGCGCTAAGTAAATCCCACACGCGCAGCCCGGAGCCGGCGCGCGAGCGCGACGCTCTCAACGGCGACGACGACGACTCCGACAACTGGGAGAACACCAGCAGCGACGGCAGCGATACTGATAGGTTAGTGAGGGTCTATATTGGTTTTAGATTTGTTATATTAAAATTATCATTTAGTCAAGTATCAATTTATTTATTTAGGTATATTTATATGAATTTACTTTTTGATATTAATTTTAATTTTTAATTTCGATTACCAAAGTTTCGAATACTTTACGTTTAGAGCAATTGGACCCAGTTATGCAAAAAACAGTCATGTGCGTAAAAGTACCAACACAGTTATAAGCATTTTATTATAAAAAATAAACAATACTTATATAAATATTGTTCAATTTTAAAATAACCAGAATAACAAAACATAACCCAAATGCAACTATCGACAGAAAAATGCTTATAGCTCTGTTGGTACTTTTACGCACATGGCTATTTTTTGCCTAACTGGGTCCAATTATGGTCGTGGCAGAAATATAACCGTATAAGGTCTGAAAAATAGTTTAATTTTACATGTCATCAATACAATAAGTATATTAAATATTATCGAAGTTCGTTAGACTTCTCAGTGTGAAGTGTATATACTCGTAGTCTGATTAGCGATCCTAGTAATATTATAAATGTGAAAGATTGTGAGGATGTATATTTGTAACTCTTTCACGCAAAAAGTATTGAACAAAATTGTACAGTAATAAAGTTTATGTACGAGAGAAGGCCATAATAACGCGGTGTGTGTGCGTGTCGACAGCGGCGCGACGTGGTCGTCCCGCTGCTCGTCGGCGGCGTCGGGGTCGGGGCGCGGCGCGCGCTCGCCGCAGCTGGCGGTGCGGCTGCTGCGCGGCAAGCGCCTCAAGCGCGCCGCGCGCCGCGCGCCGCCCGCGCCGCCGCCGCGCCGCGCCGACCGCGTCGTCGTCGAGACGCTGCACACCACCAGCCGCGCCAACGTCGTCTGGCAGGTCGTTGACACGCTTGTTGTGCTCGAACAGTTTATATAAGTACTAGTTACGTCATCTGATACTGGGGGTGGGAGTCCGGTCAAATCTCATGCACGCTTGGAGGGCATTACATACATTGGTTACGTGAGCTCAAAATGAGGGAGGGAGAATGAAAATCTCATTTAAACTGAAATGGAAATTATTGAAAGTCTTACGTCAAAGGAAATATATATTAGACATAATAAAAATATAATATTAAATTTTTAGTGTCGTTTTATGTCCGCTGAAAAAATACCTGAACGCTGTATTATTTTTATATTTTTTGAAAATAAAAGTAGTCGAGCAATTTTAGCGTGAATCTCACGTGAAAAGAAAAAGGGGTCCCACCAAATCTCACTTATCTTACCGAAGGAGTCTAAATTGAAAGAAAAATAGCTCACGTAATTAATGGATGCACCCTAGTGAATAGCATTGCGGCTGTAAGTCCTGAGGGTGCTGAGTTCGAGGTGAGGTTGAGATTTGTTGTCAAAGAACTAAGAAGAAAGAGGCAGGCGTTGGTCCGCACTCATATACACCATAATTTAATCAATTAACTTTTTATGAGAAAACAAATTATAGTCACTGTGAGTGACCGAAATCGGTTAAGAATATGTAATATTATTATTATTTGGTACAAACTTGAGTTTAATTTGAGTTTCAGCAGATCACTTCAAAGATATAATAGAAAAAATAACAAAATTTGATTTTTGCAATCCATACTTATATGTACATCGATGATTTATAGCAAAGTAAATTTTAATATTGTAATATTATTTTTTCTTGTAGGATGGCACAATTGAAATGGGAATCCCCTCCACTCAGCTGTACCCAATTCACCATTTGGATGGACAAGAGTGCTTCCCAGGCGATTTCGTCATCAACGGTGCCGCTAATGTAGAAGAAAACCAACAAGTAGGTTGTAATTATATCTTGAAAACGATTTACTTTATATCGTTTCGATATTTATGAATAAATTTATCTGTAAGATATGGGGGAGCAGATATTTTTGATACTCAGTCACTAAAAATGTAGACGAATATGTCTGTAAAAGGAAAGTGAATAAATAACAATAAGTAAATATGATTCTATCGTTTACTAAATCTAATATATTTAAACGAGCAATTCTTGTGTGTATATATATATATATAATCTGAATCTCGGCAACGGCTCCAACGATTTTCATGAAATTTAGTTTACAGGGGGTTTCGGGGGCGATAAACGCGTTTCGAGTTTTCATGCAGTTTTCTTTTGCATTATTCCACGCAAAATATGGTCGGTAATTTGCACGCTCGGGCATAAGCATCGTGGTCAAGCGGCCAAGGTACAAGATCATCAATCACAGGTGTCTAGGATCAGATCTCGGTCTCATACAAAGTTTTCTTACTTTTTTTTGTATATTTATTCAAGTTTTTAGTTTTTGTAATAAAAAAAGGAAACCGTACTTTAGGCCAAAAACTCCGAGCGAAGCTCGGTAGCCTAGGTACTATATATTATCGATCTCAGCCGATACTCTCTTTTAAAACCGATTTTTCAAACGAATTAATCCAAGCATTTCTCTTACAAATTTTAAAACGATTAATGACATAAAATTGCAGCTCAAACACCGCGAGTACGGCGTAGTGCAGCGCGTGGACCACCATGGACGAACCGCCATCGTGCACTGGTATCGCACGTACACCAGCGCCGACGAGCCCGTGTCAGTGTTAATATAAATTTTAAAATAAAAATTTACTATTTTCTATAGTGACTAACAGCCTATGTGTTACTCCAGATTATAATCTAGTTGTGTACAAAATTTTATCCAAATCTGTTCAGCTGTTCCAGCCTGAAGGAGCTCTGAGAATAGCCAACTGCGCAAGAGTTACCACCTTTACCAAATCACACCATTCATTATATTAAAGGCTGAAACTAAATCGTTCCAAATGCTTCTCTTTCCATAATCTCTGTATATAAACAGGCAATGACATTACCGTTCAGTACCTTTTTTCTTACCGATTTTCTTTTTTTTTTTTGTTTAGTAGCTATTGACGAGTTTTTGTGTTATTAATAAAAAAAATGAAAACTTTTTTCTATAGATAGGTAAACTCTATTCATAATGTTTTTATTAAATTTTCAATGATAATTATGGTTGAATTTCGACCATTGGGCGAACACTAATATAATTATATGTCAAAAGGTCGATATATATATAATGCATTATTAAATCTATACATTTATTTCATAACAGACCTCAAATGTTATACGAGAGTGAGATGAGCGTGTACGATCTGAAAGACCACCCAGACTTCCAATACAGACCGGGGACGGTCGTCATCCGCGTCGCCAACTTCACCGGCGAAGACGCCAACTGTACTGCGGGACAGGTATGTACTGTGTAGAGAGTTATATATACTTTATGCTTATTAACTAGATCAGGGCTGTCCAAAGGCCCCGGCTAATTTTGTGCGGCCCGCGAGGTGTTTCCAACCTACTACAATTACGCAAATTTTCCCGTCTTCACTGACAGATAAGTTTAATATTTAATGTCGATATTGATAGAATTGTAAAAGATTAATTAATGAAGAATTAATTAAACTAAATTTAAACATTGTAGCTGTATTTTATTTTTTTCTCCAAAAAATTAATTAGCGTGGGTATTTATTTCTGTGGGACTCCATTTTGTGTTGTGATTTATATTGGCCCACGATTGTATCTGGTCTTGGACAGCCCTGAACTAGATGATAGAATGTGAGAAGTGTCAATTAATTATTATTACTCTCGTCTATGATGGTAATTGGATTTTTTGAAGATTTTAGGTTTAATATACAGATTAGTCAAAATATGCTTATTTCAATGTTATATTCTTTTTTTATATCCATTATGTTTTTGGGATTTATAGGTAATCGATAATTTCCCAACTGGTCGTGTCAAAGTGTGGTGGGTTGACGGACATATGAGTATGTGCTGGCCACAGGATCTGTATAAGGTAAATATTATGTTATTTTCATCATATTATATTTTATTAGTCTATTAGTAGTGTTAGAAAATTTATTAATAGTGTTTTGATACATGCACTGTAATTTTTAGGTTTTATTGAAACTTAGAATAAAATATCTCAAATTAAGTAAAAATAGTACTTTTTATTACTAAATTTCGTTTAAATTGTAACCACTATCTTATATTTAATAAGAAATCCACCGTTAAATAAACCGGTTACCCTTTTTATCTGTATTTTTGTATTCTGAATTTTGAATTTAATATGTATGTATATAGGTTACGTTTAATTTTAAATATACATACACTAAAACATTTCGAAAATATCACTCATAGGTAGTTTATTTAAAATAAAAAATAACCGCATAAATCTTTAAAAAGTACTATGATTTACAAGTGACGTTATAACGAATGTTAAATCAAATATAATATTGGATCAATCCCACAAGGTGGGCGAGTACGACTCGGAGGACGGCGAGCTGTGGGGCTCGGAGGGCTCCTCGTCCGAGGACTCGTGGGAGACGCAGAGCTCGGCGCACGAGCCCGAGCCGCGCACGCCGGACGCGCCGCCCGCGCCCGCGCCCGCCCCCGCCGACACACTGGCCGCGCCCGGTGAGATTAGCTTACTTGTCTTTTTTGAATCAAAAATTATTATTTGCACGCTATACTTGGCACACTTGGCAATTGAGAGCTAGACGGAAAAGTGTAATATTTCAACCGTCACGACACTCTTTATTTACTATAGTTCACCAAAATAGTTAATCTTTTGAATTATATTTGAATTGAATTTTTACTCCACTTTGAATATACCTTTACCCTGAAGTTGCACTTATGACTCACTATTTTCATAACGCGAATGGACTATAAGAAAGAGCACCTCATATGACGTCATCATAAATAAATAATAAATAAAAAAGTATTTATTGCCATAAAAAAGAGTAAAAAAGGTAACAGAATTAGTAAAGCTTAAAGTAACTTATGGTAAAGGGTAATAACTCAGCTGATGCTGTTAAGACCAAAATCTCAAGCAGCGCTGATTTTCAGTTACACCCAGCTCCCTAGACTCCTAGAGTGTTGAGCGGGAACAAGGCCATAAGTACCAGGCGATCATAAGTGTTAAGGAGTGTACATAGTAAGTAGTTCGTGTGCACTCTTATGACGAGGCCTACTGCCTACATACTTATATTAATAACTTATGCTTATATTAATAAATTATATACTTATATTAATAAATTAACTGCCTCGGTGGTGTAGTGGCTAGCATGTACGGCTGCACACTCGGAGGTCCTGGGTTCGAGTCCCGGGTCGGGCCATGTTTAGTTATTGAGTCTTTTTGTATAGTAAGTCTCAGTAACAGCCCGGAGTTGGGAAGTTGGCGGTTTTACCCCCGTGCCTCGGAGAGCACGTAAAGCCGTCGGTCCTGCGCCGACACTCTCACTGGTCGTGTCTCGCGTCGTCCCACAATAGTATGAGAGTGACAGGAATAGAGAGTGCACTTGTGTCTGCGCGTACACGCGCTGCACTATAATATCTTCTGCGCAGTTGGCTAGTCTCAATGAGATTGGCCACCGTGGCCAGAATCGGCTAGGAGAACATCATCATCATCACTTATATTATGAAAATTCCTTAAGCTTTGTGGTCCTCTAGTACTTTAGTGAACCTAATTATAGTTATTGGGTTTCACCTATTTGATTAGAAGTAATTAGAGCACGTAAAGTTGCTTCTGTTGCTTCTATGCTTGATCTCTCTCTGATCGTGTCGAATTGTCACCCGTATCTTTAAATGTTCGGCCAATCGATCCAGTAATTCGCATTTGTATGATGAAAAAATAACAAATTCAATTCTGAATAATGAGCCTTTTTAGTATTTAAACGCTCGGAGGGTATTGAAGGTTGATTATGTTAAAAGATACAAAATTGGTTATTTGTCACATATATTTTTGGAGTAATTTTCGTTGCATATGTATTTTGATATATGAAATAAAAAATACACAGACAAAAAATGTATAAAGATAAACTATAGATTGTTTATATATCTATTAGTTAAATAAAAAAAAATACGTGTGTGTGTGTACTTATAACAGAACAAAAGTAGCAAAAAATTTCATCCCGTATGTCACAACTCTCTGTTTGTAAAAGGAATGCGGCTAACTTCATTTCGTCGCTTTTTGGCTGACGCTGTGCGCGCGCATCGTTAAAATTTTACTTTGATAATTTTTTTCCAAACATGCCAAAAGTAGTATAAGTTCAAAAACGTACATAAAAAATTAAAGAGTGCGTGTATGAGTATGTATGTACACGCGCAAGTACTTCATGCGCGTACTTCAAACTTTTGTACTCTATGAAATTCAATTTATGTTTTAAATAATTAGGATAGGTGAGATACTAAAAATAACGCATATTAGGCATTTTACAATCATATATTTATAGTATATTATTTAAGGAAAGAATATATTATTATATATCATTTGTCGGACAATAACAACGGTTACCATGGCAACGAAGGTACGTACATTTATTTCCAGCCTTATCCCCCAAGTCAAGCGTGTCTAAAAAAGTTTAAACTTCAAAGATAACTATAATTTAACTCGTAGCATTGACGTCTCGGGCCGCGGCCGGCGAGGACGCGGGCCTGCCCAAGCTGCTGGAGCCGCGCGTGGCGGCGCACATCGAGCGCGGCCGCGTCGCCATGCGCCGCCTCGAGGAGATCTTCGCGAAGCATCCCACGCTGCAGAGCCAGGAGGTGGGCATTTGTTATACGGGTTCACGTAATGTATGTATGTATGTATGTATGTATGTATGTATGTGTGATGTCCCACTAGTAGGCACGGACCGTCCCACTAATAAGTTCAATGCAAAGAAGATCAGGCCATAGTCCACCACGCTGGCCAGGTGCGGGTGCTAGGTTCTCTCAGTTGGAAATCAAAAAATCAAAATAAATCCGAGAAAAAATCCGAAGATATAGTTTTATTTGAAATGTTATTGTGGTTTTTATTTTAAACAAGATTTTGTTAGCTTTCCTTGTAATTATGTGAGTTGAGTGTGAATTGGATCACAGAGTCAAGAGGTGTATGGTAAAACTGTCAAGTTCATGTATTATAGCTTTAATAAGTCTTATACATTATTTGGTGCAAAGCGTGATTTTTTGAAGATTATGTATATAAAATTTTATAAATAAATCGAAGATAATGTAAAAAATGTGTAAAAATTGTAATATATAAAATGAATTGATTTGTAAATTCTCCATTTTGATTCACAGATTATGCGAAAATTATTAAATCTCTACAAAGATTGCCGGTTTTTGGATAGATTGATGGGTACCACTTTCTTTCATGAAGATCACTTTTTGGTGAGTTTTTATTGTAATACTGATTAATTTCGTAACACGTTTTAATTATTAATATTGAAAAGCGTATGGGATATTATTAGTATTTTAGTTTTCCAAATATGTTAACAAAATAAAATATGCGTAAGCCTTGTATTGTCCGCTTGAACACAGTATAAAGATCCATACAGTAGGCGATCGCTTATTCATTTTAACGAAAATGTCAAATGTAAGGATTGTCAAAAAATAACAATTTTCATGGCGAACGTTTTTCAAGACCACTGAATGGATTAGTATATAGTAGTGAAGTAGACTATAGTAATAATAAGTATACTATCCCCGCAGGGTCTGCTGGAGCGCGTGCGCGAGCGCGGCGCGAGCACGCCGCGCGCAGGCGAGCGCCGCGTGCACGAGCAGCTGGCGCGCCTGTTCGCGCCGGCCGACGGGCCCGAGCCCGAGCCCGAGCCCCTCGACGCCGTCATGGTGGACGACAGGCCCGCCAAACCGATCATTGCCGCCAATGTCACTGTCGAGCCTATGGAGGTAATGGTTTTATTATTATACTAGCGACTCACGTCCCTAGGTTGATTCCCCATACAAAATTTTCATCCCCATATTCACCCCCTTAAGGGATGGTTTAAGAGATAAAAAGTATCTCCTATGTCCTTCCCAGGGTTTCGAACTATATAAACTTTACAAAATTTACCTCTTTATAATTTTAGTGTAGAGAAACAAGTAAATCAATCCGTTAAACGATGTTATCATAATCGTTTTCAGCTGTAAAATCTCGTTTGGTCACTTCTTCATACTGTCCTGCCAGTACTGTATGCTGTATTTAATTTTAAAATGTAACATTGATGATTCAAAAGTGATTGTAAAAGTCTATTTGAATAAAGTATAATATTTTGATTTGAGTTGTACTGGCTTAATAGATTTGCTTTACATTGAATAAAATCAGAATTAATACACTATGGTAAATACTGTGCCTAACACGCAACCCAAGATGCGGATAAATCGTAATAGGCTTATTGATAAACATTTTTTTTATTTTTATGAAGAAAATTATACTATTTAAATTTTTGTACACTTAACGTTTTAAAATATTAGGAATGCAAAATGGTGTATGTTTAATGTTAATTTATTACTTGTTATTTTTTTCCTGAGAAACTTTGATGAAGAAACATAACCTAAAATAAATAAAATTGTTCTAAATTATTGGAAAAAAATAGTTATCTATTTTTGTTATAATTTAATTATTTATGATGTGCACTGTTTTAAATTTCAGGTAGAAACCTGTTCACCAAAGAAGTCATTACACTTAAACATCGATCCCATACAGGCGTCCAGTTCAGATACCAATGCCACTACAGATAATGCTACTGGAGAAAATGGTTAGTAAACTTTAAACTTCTATTCCATATAAACTATATATAATTTGTTTATATGTATTAACAATTTAATAAATGAAGGCTTTGAATCAATGATTATTATAATGGAATAAAAATTTATTTATATTAACATTTAAATTCAATAAGAATATAAATTTACGTCTGGCCAAATGATGTAATATCATTCTTGTATATTTTACGTTTTTTCCTATATTCCTTTGCATTTAAAATATTACGGAAGTTTTTATAATGATGATACTTTTGACCGCAATCCACAAATGTTGTATGTAACATATTACTTACTGCATATAACCTAGCTAGATAATCTCTTTGTATAGGTAAAAATCTTATGAAAATCTGTGAAATAGTTTCTAAAATTGGCCCGAACAAACAAACTAAGCGCGGCGAGAGACTATAATATAACTAGCGCCTCACTTTCGCTTCTGGTTCGTTCCTAAACAAAACAAATCTATCCCACAGGAACCGGACATTTTTCCAGGATGATGAAATGAGCTATCTAAAGCAAAAAGAATTTTTCAAAACGGATTAATTTTTCAAACCAAACAAACAAACAAACTGCCTCTTTATAATATTAGTATATATAATATGATGTTTAATACAAAATATTTTTTACCTTTTAATCAGATGATTGTAAAACGGTCTTTCTGTCTACTAATGCTAAGCATTGCAATTTCAGTATTAACAGACACAGAAGCAGAGGGCAACACCCGCAACGTGTGCTACAAGCTGTGCTCGCTTATACACCGCCAGCTCGTGAAGGCGCACGCCGAAGTCAGCCGGTACGTTACACTCGTACGCTTCATACACTCATTCACCTGTCTTGTATAATCGCTTGCGTTTTAATTATTAATATTTAATGATTAATCAATTATTGTATTGATGTTTTGTCAAATGGGGTTTGTTTTGGTTATTAAATATCTTCATGTTGGAATTGCCAGATTAAATTTTTTTACCAGTTAATTAATTATTCTCAATTAGTTTTTTTTTACTAAGACTAAGATATCAAATGTGAAAGGCAATTTGTTTTCCGCAGGAGAAGGCCGCAAGAGCTGGCCGAATTCCTAAACGGCTTAATGAGAACTCAAAACGCGAGCGAAGAGAAGTTACCCTACCACTTTTCAGTGTGAGCCTTTATGTTTTTTTGTTTATACCCCCCTCCTGCCAACTCCTCGGAGTCTGTACATATTTTGCAAATTTTAACAACTAGTCTTGGCTACAAATTTATTGTTTAGTATGTAAATGCATAATCTAAATTAGATATTCTCAAATAAATGAGTTTATATGTCTTCAAATTAGTTAAAATATGAAGAAAATGAAGTTTCTAATTTTACTAGAGAAATTTTAAAAAAAATTAGCATAAAAATATGATTTGATACTTTAAAGCGATATGTGCAGATCTCCTTTTATGTTGCTTTATTTTTATGTATGTTATATATATTTTTTTTTGTTGTCACTACATTTTTGTGTTTGTTCTGTGTCTCAAGACTGTGCCATGTTAAATACTATTATTATTCGCCTAAATTTTCCCCTCAATGTTAAATGTTTTAATGTTTTAAAGTATAATTAGTATTTCTTAATATATTTTCGATATGAACTCGCATCACTTATATTAAACAAAGATGTTAGTTCTCATATATCAGACTCATTTCATTAGATTTAGTTTAACTTAGTAATGTGAGTCATCTTAGCAGTCCAAATTACATACTTTAACATATTTAGTATAGTAAGCTATGATTATCCTAATTTTTTTAAATTTTTATTTTGATTTAATTGGTTTAAATGTAAACTGTCTAAATCAAACCTTAGAATTACACCATATTTATAAATACTAAAAAACTATTATATATATAGTAATAGTAACGAAAAATCATAAGTTTAAATTTTTTATATAGTAAATATACGTTTCTTCTTTCATATAATAAAATATACGTTTAAAAATGGTGGCTTATCTATTATAAGGTGTCAAAAGCTCAATCGCCTTTCTGATTATCTAAAAAAAACGATAATAGTATGCATTTGAGCCAAACAGAATATAAAATCCTTTAATTTATTACAAACTATATAATTTTTCTTTTAATTCACCTAATAGATTTTTTTTAATCCAATAGCACAAACCCGATTTTATAAACCCGTTTACTTTTAATTTGTTTATTTTGTAGATGACTCTGTAAAAAGTGGTAACTTAATTTCTCCGTTTTCCGATACATTAGTGATTTTGACCCAAAAACATGTTTTATTGTTAGAGTTTTTGTGTACAATGTTTGTTTAATGTAAGTCTTGCGTGCGCGATAACCCTTGCAAGTTGGAAAGTATCTATCTCTATGCATGGTGTATGCCATTGTCACCACTTTCCTGTGGCTGTGTTGTATATTCGGTTATTATGGGAATATTAAAAAGTGGATTTTTTTATTGAAATAAAAAAAAATTAGAAAGCATGTGTAAGTAATAACGTGATTTTTAATTTTTTGATTATTTCCAAAAGTTGTTGAATTACTTTTTTTTTAAATTATTTAGACAAAGATTTTTTAATAATATCTATTGTTATGCATTATAATTATTTATTTTTGAAAATTGAACTAGAGCAGTCACAAAATAAACACGCAACAAAGCATTTTCTGTCCAATACATTACTTAATAAATAACGTTTAATATATAAGCCATAAAAGGACTTCCTGTAATAACTGAATAATGTAGTATACAACTTATCAAAAACCTCACTGTGAATAAAAAATAATTTTATCAGTATTATATATTGATAAAATACACACTGAGGTTTTTCTGATAAGTTGTATAGTACAATAGTTCTTCTAAATGGTCAGTCATGAGCATAAGTATATGACCACGGACAGTTGGGTAATAATATTTTATTGTATGATTCATTGATTAATATCTATTTTCACGCTGTCAGCAAAAATATATTACATCGTAGGAATAGCAAAACTATCTGATTACACACGCGATGCAAAAATATAGAATGCAACATCGGCATCAAAAACAACTGACACCTTTTATATGTATAAATATCGGAATGCCTTGCGTTTATTTGCCTACTCAATCATCTGTTCACATATAGAATGAGACGTAGTTAGGCAAAATAGATACAACCACAAAAGATTGTTAGTAAAATTGGTATATCAAAATAACAAGACCGTAGTTTTGTTTGAAATTCCTCTTAAATATTGGATATTTTATCTACTGTCTGTGTGTAAGTTGATATGTAGGTGCCATTTACGCCAGTAACTCAAAAAAACGGTTTTCATGGATTGTATCCATTTTGCATAGCTACCGTCCATATATTTTTGCTCCTGACTGTACGTACACGAATGCTATCAATACTTGTGACTGGCTAGTTTGTTGATGTCAGCGCTATAAATGTCAATGTAAATACATTTTAATATACGTTCTAATACTTCCTAACTTTATAGTAGGGGAGCCCAAGAGGGGATTTTCTGTAGTTACTCGAGCGCGGCAGATTAACACAAAAATCGACTATAAAGTTTATGATGATTTTTGCCTCTTAGGCTTGTGCGAATCGGAAGATTATTGAATTGGGCACTTTTCAGGATGTGACTAGCCTACCACACCTTAATCTGACGGTTTCAAGTATTTCTACCTTATCAAAACATTTTTTAAATATTTTAATCGGCTTCCCTAGACGCGCCCCTTTATATAGAAGACTTATATTATGGTGAAAGTACTCAATAGAGTGCAAGGTAACCTCTTTTATGTTAATCTGCCGCGCTCGAGTAACTACAGAAAATCCCCTCTTGGGCTCCCCAACTATTACATACACAATTGAGTTTTGTTAGAGCGAGATAAATATTACTTTATGTAATTCAAATATTTGATTTAAAATAACACGTTGATGGAATTTGATAGTTTAAAAAAATGAAAAGCTTATATATTAATATTTTATATATGCTATTTTGGTGTTAAAAATGATTGAATAACCATATATCTAGAACCTTTAAAATATATTCAAATATTTTATAAATAAATAAAAAATATCGTTTGTTAAATGATAAATTGTGTATACTAATATATGTAATATTTGTATTTCAGTCAATATGGAGCGCTGGTAGTGAGCATGGCGGATCAGGACGAGAAGGGGGATGAGAACAAAACTACTACGGAAGTGAAAGATGCTACCTCTGATACTGTACCCAAAACTGAAGCCAATGGTTAGTATTTTCCTTACTCACAAGATATTTTAATACAAAGCTCATTTATGTCTTTGATCCATATTCAAAGAATATAGAATTTCCAAAGAAAATTCTTTTCAAATCGATATTTGAACAGAGTTTTCTTTGGAAATTGTAGAGATTTTATTAATAAGTTTTTCTTTTGAATAAAACTATCTTTTCGGATTTTTTCGCGGATTATTTTGATTTTTGGTTCACGACTTTTCGAACGCTTTACAGCAATCACAGTCACGGGAGAGACGCAAATATTTGTTCTAAAACAAAAAAAAAATCGTATTTGGTCTAGTGTTTGTTTTATTTTGAGATTTTGTTTCCGGCATTTTGAATTATTTACAGCAAATATGTGCAGTCTCCCGTGAAAGAACTGGGAACAAAATTTCAAAATGAAACCGCGTAAAAATCGAAAAGATATTTTCATTTAATGCCAATTGGAAGTAGGTATACTATTATATGACTAATACACTAAAGATTTGTTTACATAACTTTCATGGTTTTTTCTGATTTTCTCGAAACGTATATAAAATACATAGAACCTTCTTTTTGGTAGTCATTAATATTAAATTAAATGAATGAGTATTTATAATACCTACAACCGCGACAAAATCCGAAAGGATAGTTTTATTTATTGACAATTAAAAGTAGGTAAAAATGACTAATTAGCTCTAAAGTTAAAATTTCATGGTTTTTTATTTTTTGATTCATGATTTTGTCGAAACGTATGTAAAAAATAAATAGAACCTCTTTTTTGGAAATCGTAGATAAAAATGAATATTAAATGAAATGAATGAGTATGTATTATACAGTAGTCCCAGTAGACACCGCGCCACTGGCCACCGCGGACGGCGACGCGGACGGCGAGGGCGTGGGCGAGGGCTTCGCGATCCTGGAGTCGGCTCCCACCACGCACCGCTTCCGCCTCTCCATGCTGCAGCCCTCCGAGCCCAGGAGCTTCTACTCGGCTGTCAAGAGGGAGATCAAGTTGTTGAAGAGCGACCTGCCGCCTGGGGTAAAGCTGTTTATAGTTAAAAAGAAATAAGTCTAAAATTAAGTTCATCAATAGTAATAACAAAGTTTAAATAATACAAAAAAGTATATATAAAGGGATTGAGGATGTATGGTGTAAATTATGATGTTCTTGAAGAATGTTTGTAAATCCTTATAATGGTTTATTTTTTTTATTGTTGAACACGATAGCGTAAGATAGTATTAGATAAGCTTATTTAATTCTAACAAAATTATAGTACAATCAAATATGGATTATTTGTGTCGTATGCAGTCGTGCAACGAAAGCGTTTAAAAGAGTAAAGTCGTACGAGACACGGGTGAGATGCACCCGACTATCATACTTTTATATGTATGTATTTAGCCCTTTTTAACGTCCTGCTAGTGGTCACGAGCCTTCATTACGAGGGGGTTTTTACTTTTGTACAAGAGTCGGGAAACAGCTTTAATGTTGACAATTGTACTAACTGACCTGATGGTACTATAGTACTTTAAAATCGAAGCTGTTCGCCATGAAAATTGTTATACTTTGATAATCTTTGCATTTGCTAACATAGACAGCATTTTCTTTAAAATTAATGACGATTGTATAAATGTGTATAAATAAATGTGTTGGGACATTAATACACATCACCATCTAGTTCCATGGTAAGCTACGAGGCTTGTGTTATGGATACCGGATAGTTGATATACTACACATATATACCTTTTAAATACATACATAATACATACATTTGTAATAATTACACAAATGAATGCCCTCAGCGGCACTCTTACGCGCGACCGCTGGCACAGCAAGTCGGGTAGCACTACAAACTGAGCCGAAGTGTATGGATTTTAATATTGCTTTTATGGTAAGAACTGTTTCTTGATCTGATATGTAATGTGTATGGTCTGTCGTGGGTGGGCAGGTGTGGGTGCGCGGCTACGAGGACCGCATCGACCTGGTGTCGGTGATGATCGCGGGGCCGGCGCGCACGCCCTACGAGGGCGGCCTGTTCGTGTTCGACGTGCAGCTCGGCGGCGAGTACCCGCGCGCGCCGCCGCTCTGCCACTACCACTCCTACTGCTCCGACAGGCTCAACCCCAACCTCTACGAGGATGGGAAGGTTAATACATATTATAAACCATATAGAACAAATACGAGTTTATTAAGAACGTCTTTATATATATAATAAAATTCTGAGTCGAATCTTTACATTAAATATTTTTTTGGAAAATCTTATCGATACAGAGGTCGAATCTATAGTTTTTAAATGTTTTCTCTGCTTGTCCGTCTGTCTGGGAACGCATCGCGTGTGTACATGTTACACGTTCTCGGTGAAACGGCTGGATGGATTTGGATGAAATATAGTACACAGATAAATTATGGATGAATGGAGTAAAGCGAGGGTAAATCGCTACTAACTTTATAAAGACAGTATTTGCATATAAGAGACGGGAAACTAAATAAATTAACTTTAGCACATCTTCTCTTCTTCTTCTTAGATTATTTATTTTGATTTCTCCAAATTGTAAAAATTTAAAATATATGCATCCATCAAAAAAGTAGTAGATACACAGTCCAATGCAAAAGTTCTCTTAAAACTGTCACCAAGTGTGTTTAGGTTATAATTCTAGTTGAAATAAATAAACAACAATGTAAATTGAACCTTAAACGCAATGCTTAAAGTAATTTTCACAAAAAAATCATTCGGTGAGGACATTTTTTATCGCTGATAGTGTGTATAGTACTTTATTGATTGATGAATGTAAATAAAAAATATGTACATGTACAATGATGTGTGTAGGTATGCGTGTCGCTGCTGGGCACGTGGTCGGGGCGCGGCGTGGAGGTGTGGGGCAAGGACAGCTCGCTGCTGCAGGTCATCGTGTCGCTGCAGGGGCTCATACTCAACGCGGAGCCCTACTTCAACGAGGCCGGATACGAGAAACAGAAGGGTGAGTGCTGTCAAGTGTCGTGTTTACATGTGATCAGTGGCGTAATTACTCGTACCCTATTGTGGGTGGCTCTAGAGTCTAGACCAAGGCTCGTTGAGATCTATTAATTGCTTGACTTTTTTATGGTTTTTATTTTGAATTTTGTAAGCTTTTTTTCGTAATAATAAGTAAATATAATATCTTAAAAAAAATTAAAATATTGTTATATTACTTATAACAACTAGTTTGATTGAATTAGTAAAAAAATGTAAAATGGAAAATATTAATGTAGTATAAAATTGTACTCAGGCACACAACAAGGCAAAGAGAACTCGCGTATGTACAACGAGATGGTGTTGCTCAAGCTCGTGCAGTCCATGACGAGGATGCTGATGAATCCCCCGGAGCCGTTTCGCGAGGAGATCCTGCAGCACATGCGCACCGCCGCCGCGCCCCTCTGCGCGCGCCTCGAGGGGCTCGTGGCGCTCTCCAACGGCCCCCACCCCCCCGCCGGCGCCCCGCACCCCCCGGCCGGCGCCCCCGACTACCCCCTGGTGCCAGCGTCTCGCGGCTTCTGCCTCACACTGCGCTCCTCGCTCGACTCGTTCCGCGCAGCCCTGCGGCGTCACGACATAGACGTACCCCCCTCCGCGTTATAGCCCCGCTCCTAGCCTTTAATACTACTCCCTTCTAATTAAGCTAGGGTTGCCACTTGTATCAACGCCTGTCATTCTATTTTTAATGTAGCATCCATTATTGTATTAATTCTAAATTAATGTTTATAGGTCTCTTTTTTATATAACGATATATTTTTTTATTGGTCATTTTTATTTGCAATTTTTTTTGTTAATATGGCAACCCAGTACGCTACGTACGGAGTACGTTACAAAACAGCAGATGCTCAGACCCGGTGTCGCTACCAGCCCGGCCGGCTGTGGTCGGTCGCGTTGAACTCGTAGGTATAGTATTTATTGTGATTTACTTTCGACTGTAGGTATATTTTAGCGGAGGCGGGCGCTCGGGCTCGTATTGTTGTTATTTTTTTTATTTCCTCGCGAATTTAAAGTCGTATTTATCGATAAGTTTGCATGAAATTTCTATAATTCCGTTGTTCATATTGCTCACTAATATGAAGCCAACCGATCTGTTTGTATGAAATTCTAATTGGAAAGTTCGATCTAATGCGAATAATTATTAGATTTATTAATTATAGATTATTATTATTTATTTTGTTAAAAGTAATGTCTACTTTATTTCATCGCCCTAATGTTAGGTTATGAGTACTTATTGAAGTTTATCACGCGTTTTCGATTACGATATTTGAATTACAATATATACATATTGCTTTAAAATAAAGACAAATTATTTTAGATTACGCCTATAATATGTATTTCGTAAATTCCATTTATATACGCGTGTGGTACGTATGTCCATAGCTTGGGTAGTTTACTATACACATAAAAAGTACTAAAAACTTTCTAAAATTATTTGTCAAACAATCCCAGCTGTGTATATATAGCGATACTTTCTTTCGAAACAGTTTTATAGTTTTCATTGTATGGATGGTTTGTGTCTCATTAATGTTTCTTTGTGTGCTTTCTATTGTGTGATATGAAATATTCACTCATTTTTATGTAATTGTAATTTTTATTTTGTTTTATTATTAAAATATTAATTTATATTGTATTAATGAATTGAAAATTCCAAAAATGGCGCTGTAGAACATTACACTTGGAAATATTTGAAGACGGCTGTTCCGCATGTTACCAATGCTTAAAAGACCCGTAGATCTGCCGACGAATTGAAATAAAAACCAAGGTATTTTCGTCCTATTTCTAGTGTTATTCTCAAAATTGAATTTTCGAATAGGGAGATTATTTTCCTCGATAGTGCTTATAGAATACGGTGAGTGGAGCTTGAACAGCGGCCGGCGCCGCTTGCACAAATACGATGTAACTTCATGCCAAAGTCAATTGAGCTATGAAAGGCTTTCTGTCGCTTGTGTACGCGATAAGTGACAACTATATGTAATGATGATAAATAAATAATTCTTCAACCTTCCTTTTGTGTTTCATTCTGTTATTTATTTTTCCTTTTGAATATCATATTATGCAGCGCTAAGTATTGACGAAATAGTACAATACGATACGATACGTGTGTCTTTAATTACGTAAATTCATTACTACACGCCGTGAGATAGTGTCTAAGCTTAGTGATAGATTAGCTAAATAAGACATGGAAATCATTTCAATAAATATGTGACATATATAAAACATTTTCTATCGTTAAATCAAATTCAAACACTTCTTTTGTCTGTCATAAACCGCGGACTTATTGTTATTACTTTGTGCAAAAATGGCCTATTTTACATACTAAAAGCATTACATAAACGAGGGTTTTGGTAACAAAAGAAAAATAAAAGTATACAACACGAAAATAAACATTTATTTATAAAGAATATTTTACACTATAAAAAAATGGATACATCAGTCAATTTATATATAATGAAATATATAATTTATCTATATTTTTAAGAAATGGTTAGTTAATCTATCACAGTATTTAATTGAAATTATAGACAATCAAATTTTACTTGTATTATAATTATTATTATCTGTTGCATATTCCGAATAAGATAATAAATATGGAGGGTAGAGGTAAGCAGGACCGCCTTATATAGAGAGACAAGTTGAAAAAATGACTATCTGTGAGCGGTAAATAACAGTTAAATAAAACTATCTTTTCGGATTATTTCGCGGATTTATTTTGATTTTTGGTTCCCAAATAGTTCAACTCACCAGAACGGCGCTAGCGTAAATGAGGTATGATATGAATTTAGCAGTTGTAGACGAAGTGAAGTGTGTTAACTAGCAAATTAATAATTTTGGGTAATTTGAGTAGTTAATAAAACTGCAGTATAGAAAACCTCAATTTCTTACTTATTCCAAGATAAGTTACTAAATATAACATAATAAACTACTGTGAGATAAAGTAATCCTACTCTGGACGCTTTTTCAAAATTTACCCACTTGCTACAGTAGCGCCACCCTAATTTAACGCTTTTCGACGGACACTTTGTCATCACAGAAATAATTCTCCTTACCTCGACCCTCCATAGATTTAAGTACATATATCTAGTACAGATCAAAAGTATCATAAAACGTTTGATTTTTGAAAAAAATGAGTATCTGTTTAATTTCATAAAAAATATCTTAATTTTTCAAAATTTATAATTTTTTTGACTACATGTGCGTTTGAAAATAAGTAAATAAAATAATCGTCCAGCGAATATTATATAATAAATAGATATTTTTATAATGAACACAATAAATGCAAAATTTATCATAGCTAAAAATGAATAATATAAATAAACTAAAAATACACACATCCTTACATCAAAATATCAAAATAATAGCTGCTAAAAATTAGGTACAATATATGGAATAACAGTAACATAATGAATGACAATCTAACGTGGTAAGGTAATTAAATCGTTTTTGTAATATTTCATTAATTATTATTACTAAGTATTGTTATAAAACATTTGTAATTTAGTCTTCAATATAAAAATATTCTTAGAAATAGACTAAATACTATTTATCAAAATTGGCAAAATATTACAAAAGCTTTGGATACTTTACAGTGTCCAGTTAAGTAACTATGAGTGAAAAGGAAGACATCTTCAAATCCCACTACTCCATCTATTAAAAAAGTACTAGATACACAATCAGCGACAAAAAATGTCCTCATCGAATGAACGCTCATTTGAACATTTGAGCGCGCTTTTAATTTTTTTTAAGGAAACAACTTTAAGCATTTTATTTAAGGTTCAATTTACATTGGTGTTTATTTCAACTGGAATAATTACCTAAACACAGTTGGTGATAGTTTTAAGAGAAGTTTTGAACGGGATTGTGTATCCTGTACTTTTCTGATCGATGCACTATTCTATAAAGGCAAACTTAGCCCTACCTACGAGTTTTAAAGATATTCGAAAACTAAAAGTCGTTCATAATTTAATGAAGATTTCGAAATAATAAATGGTGTGCGTCTTAAAGGTAATTATATAATTAAATCATTATATAATACATTCGAAATGATGGGGACCGAAAATTAAAATAAATCTGCGAAAAAATCCGAAAAAATAGTTTGAATTAAAATGTAAAATATTCGCGTAATCTAAGAAAGTCAATTAAAACTCGTAATATGGGTACTGGTTAGCCTTATTTATTATTACTTATTACTCATCTAACATTCAAATAACAAATTTTGGATAAGGATTTTTTTTTAATTTATAGGACAAAGTGGGAGTCAACTGTTGCTCTTACAATTATAAAATATATTCTCAACTTTATTATTTATTTGTAACTAATAAGTAACGGTACCGCGTACAGCTATATTTTTCGTTTAAATTCGTAGGAAATCCAATCCACAAATATAAAAAATGGGTTTTTCAATTAAAAAACTCCAGCATTAAATGGGGATTATTTTGGAGAATAATGTGTATGAGATAATATTAAATTCAAACAGGGCTTATATAAATAAAATATAAATATAATAATTTTAGACACTTAAGTATAGTTCAGAAATATGTGTGTGCAGTTTGTGGCACTACAAAGTGGTTCAGTGCAACCGTCAACAGCGGCATTCATGAAGACATGGGGTATTAAGAAATATATGGAATAAACAATTTTTCTATTCATATACATCTCATAGTACTCGAAGTTTTGAGCAATGATTAGGAAATATAAAAATTATTGTTTATGTTCCACAAAAAAATTAATTCTTTAAGAAAATGAACTGGTATAAAATTGATTTGATATGACAAAAACATTTAAATTTCGCTATTAAAAACGAATTCACAAATGAAACAGCTGGATCAATAAGCATATAAAATGGCAATTGTATAAAAAAATTCAAGTATGAGAGCGTAATTCGATTACATATTAACATTTAATGTCATGAGTTCTTTTCGAACATATTCACTGATACTAAAATGATACACATAACGGACCAAAGCAACACAAATATGGCCCACGCGATGTTGGAAAATGGACTTTTATATTTATTAACAACGCCAAGACCGAGTAAATTTGTGCAATGCCGTCTCGCAGAGAGCACTAGGAAAGTGGGTATGATATACTGTATGCCGGTGCCGGCGTACGAGCCTGTGAATTTAATAAGTATACTTATGTCTTCCAAAAAATACGTTAACAAGAGTGGCGGTATCACCGCGATAACTGGGAACACTAATTTTCTCAAAATAAAATTGTACGACTCCAGTCGACTGGTATCTAGAAATAGACTTTGTAAATTATTCCTTAAAGTAATCGCTATGATGGGGAAACTAGTGGACAACGTGAACACCGGAAACGAAGCTAGGAAGTATTCAACAATTTCCAAAAAAATATTCTCGTTATCTGTTGGTACGAAGTTGAGTGTGTATAGATCATTGAGTTGCGCGAATGCGAATGCTCCTGTGAACGCTAGAAGGAGATAGAAGACGCTAATGAGTGCATAGTCTAGAGAGAGATGGAGTCCGATGTGGCTTTTTCCTCTTATAGGGCTTATAAGAGCCGGTAAGGAGTGGTGGCACATGAAGGAGTAGACGCAGGCGCCGAACAGAGTGGGCATGCCGGTGACGTCGAAGGCGGGCGGGTGTCCCCGCGGCCCGCGCACCGCCAGCAGGCGGATCGCCATCGATATCATTATGGCGAAAGCTGTAACGAATACATGGTGTAATAATTATACATTTTTTAACAATATTGGGCTACTACTGTAAATCCGAAAGTTTGTATATATATGTGTGTGTGAATGGACTGAACAAATTTGCATAAAGTACACAGATAGAATATGAATTGACTCCCACACACCCGAGCGTAATTAAGGTAAAAATGAAAATTTAAAAATATGTACTTAATTATGAAGTAAATATATTTTTCTAAAATTTTTCTTTTTTATCAACGAGAATGGTTTTTTTAATCAAAATATGACGTAAGTAGGTACGTTTAAAATAGTTACACTCACAAATAATGTACTCTTGAAAGCTAAATTCTATTTAAGAACTACATACGACACAATGTATTAACGATTGCGATATTCGAATCTCGTACGGTCCCGCTTGTCGGTCGCACAACGCCCACGCAGTATTACACACAATCGCATAATTTTATAATTAGATTTGTTGTCTCAGAACAAAATAAAGAGAATTCTTGATATTTGGAGTTATTTTTATTAGATTTTTGCAAGAGACATAATATTATGTTAGTTATTCATTGGTAAGTTTTATAAAATTGGACTGGTATAGATTTTGTTATCCATACTAATATTATAAATGCGAAAGTAACTCTGTCTGTCTGCCTGTTACCTTTTCACGCTTAATTCGCTAAATCGATTTAGATGAAATTTGGTATGGAGATAATTTGAAACCCTGGGAAGGACATAGGAAGTTTTTACCTCAGAAATCATCCCTTAAGAGGGTGATAAGGGGGTGGAATTTAGTATGGGGTATCAATCATTTCTCAAGTAAGAGATATAAAAAACTTCCGTCAAACGTACCTAGGGACTCACCCTCGCTAGTCTATACATATAATAAAATTATAACTAAGCCGAATCTGTACATTAAATATTTTTTGGAAAATCTTATTGAAACAAACATTATTATCGATACAGAGACCAAATCTATCTATAGTTTTTAGAATTTTTGTCTGTCTGTCTGTTACCGCATCACAGAAAAACCACTGGAGAGATTTTGATGAAATTTGGTATGGTGATAGCTGGTTATCCGGGTCAACATATAGGATACTTTTTACCGCGGGAAAATGTCTCATTTCTAAGAAAAAATACAAAAACTGCAATGTGAGAGTATACTAATATGTAAAACCTAAGAATTTCTTTTTGATCATCTTAACGAGAGCGGAGCCACGGGCAATGCTAGTATTAAATAATTGCTTCGCTGTTCTTTACAACAGATGAAAATAACAGTCTAAGGGGATTTTAGGGGAGTACAATATCTAATAATTCCATGATAGTCACTAGAGGGCACTTTTCAGCCCACACTTGATACAATGTCAATTATTGTTACTCCGTTAATAAATGACAAACCAAAAACTCTGGCATTTATAATTTTTACTTATTTTTAAAATTACAATTTTTACATGATATTTGTTTTTCTAATAATTTTTAACTGGTTTCAAAAAAGTCGGTTCAGTCTTGGTTGATTTTTTTATATATAACGCAATGTCTTCACCGATTTTGAACTGATATATGGATGTGGTTCTAAAAAAATCGGATAATTGCGAGTCTGATTCGCACACAGATTTTTCGGTAGCGTAAAACATTAAAATAAGTTTATAATCGCAAAAAAATCGCAAAAAGTAAAAAAGTGTTATTGTAAGTAGAAATTTACGGTTTTCGCATTCTTTCCCTTTACTTGTGCTATAAGAGATTGCTTCTTGCCAAATTTCATGATTCTAGGTCGACGGGAAGTACCGTATAGGTTTTGATTCCCTTGCGAGTGTCAAAATATGCGACATGAACGTCCGTATCTTTTGATTGCGTAGACTTAGAAGTTTGATTTTTTAACAGCTCCAAGGAATTGCAAACATGAGTATTTGATACTTCAACATAAAAATCATCCTCCTCTTAAAAATATCTTGACAGGCAACGAATTGAACCTATAAGAGCTCCTTTTTCCTTTTGAGGTATGCAACCCTAAAAATTGACCCTAAATAAAGAAACAAACACTCACCAAGCCATCGCATTCCCGATGTGAAGAGCTGCAAATATTTAGTTTTCTGTACATTGAAGAATACAAACGGTCCCATCGCCCCGAAGAAGGTTAACAACGCCACTCTGTAGCAGTCGAAACGTGTGTACGAGGCGTCGGGTCTGTTGAAACAAGGCAGAATATCCCAATCTGTCGCATTTGTTAAGTTATTTGGGACTGGCGAGCTGCGAAATAAATTAAATATTAATATTCTACCTACAATAGTTGTACATTTCTTTTAAATACCGTTCTTGTTTTTATGACAGATTATAATTGTACATTTTTGTCTTAATTCTAATAGAGTCTGCAGAATAGGTTAGTTAATAGTTTCATATCAATTCAATCTTGTTAGAAGATCTAAAGATGCTAATACGAGGTTAAGTTATTATCTACTGAAGTGGGAATTATGAAGATACTGTGAAAGAAAAATCTTATTAAAAATTTACACATGAATTAACTTGAGTGTGGTTGGGAGTTCGATATCCACGTGAAGACATTTTTTTTATACACGTTCACGTATTTTATGCGCTGAGTTAATACAAATCTTGTTTTGAGTGAAAAGCATTGCTGAAGTAATCTGTGCTCAACTGGCACGCTTTGAAGAGTTTTAAGCCTTTAACAAGAAAATTTAATTTGTGTGAAAGGATTTTTTTTACTACAACAGAAAAATCCTAATTATACAGTGACTTTTTTAACCGACCTCCAAAAAGGAGGAATTGAATTGAATTCGTCGGAATCTTTTTTTTTCAATATCGAAATTCCGTCCACGCTGCTTAATCTTTATATTGTAATCACGACTTATCACCGAGACTTACCGATGAGATTATTAGGAATATTTAAATATACATAAACTTTACTTGATAAAAGCAGAACATTCTGAGAAAAAGTTTTATATCAGTTTTATTTATGAAAAGTGTCAGTAGGTAAAAAATGAATACAACATATTAAGCGTAATAGCGCGAATGAATTTTGTTTATAATTATTGGTTTGTTATGAGATCAAACGTTATAGGTTAAGTATAAAATAATAAATAAATATGTTAAGACATTAACACACAGCACTGCATCCAGTTCCATGGTAAGCTACGAGGCTTGAGTTATTGATACCAGATAGCTGATACACTATACATAATATATAACTTGAAATACATACATATTATAAATATATGCCTAAAACCTATGACTGGAGTACAAACATTCGTGCTCATCACACAAATGAATGCCCCCAGCGGGACTCGAACCCGCGACCGCTGGCATGGCAAGTAGGGTCGCTACAAACTGAGTCAAACGAGTCGTCAATAAAAGTAACAGAGAAAGTTGAAATAGAAAATAGAAAAGTTCTTTTAATTTTGAAATTAACTGACATGCATTTGCTATGCCGAGCCTTTTTTGCGACATCCACAGGAACTATAGATTTAGTTAGAAAAAGTAAACCTATAGCACAGTCAGGTCTGTCTCTATGCAAAAATTGCCTTATTAATTATGGGTTTTTGCCTGAATTAAATATTTATTATTATATTATTATTATTAAAGGTCAAAGAAACTGCTGAGTTTAAAATATTTACCATTGAGTCTCATCAGGAAGAAAGAATATCAGTTCAAATAAATGTCAATAGATGGCTCTATATGTATCGATTTGATTTTGATGTGTTGATACTGAATTAATACAATAACCTAACAAAACATAAAAAATCTATGCTGAATAATTGGTGTTTTTGACATGCCTTAAATATAACTTATTACTAACTACAGACTACAGTGAACCAAATCTTTTTTAAGAGTTTTATATCATAATACATTTTAAAACAACTGATCAAACACAAGCAGTCTCTTTTTTAAATTGATCATGAATTAAAATAATTATAAATGAATACATGCACACATTTTAATACTCAGACAATATAAATAAAAACTTTTTATTTTTACTTAAGGAACATGATAGATTCTTACCATATGACATCCATCAAGGATTTCGAGACTGCTGCAGAATAAATAGACAAATCGCCATATAAATATACACATAGAGTGCAATAGAACATAGTCCTCCCAGATTTGTTTAAGAATAAGTTGGCCATCTCCCCTAACTCTATGCGATTATCCAAGCTGTAGTAGCGGGAAGGAATAGAGTCACCACAGACAAGGGGATCCTCCATCTCGCCATACCCATTTTGGGACACTATTGTTTCATCTTCTGATTCATTCTCTGTTACCTATAAGATTTCCATATGATATATGAAACTAGTAACTTTAAAATATATTAATTCTGTGAAGTCAACTGTGGCCTGACTGACCCCTTTTTGCATGAAGAAAGATCCATGCCCCGCAGTGGCATGTTAAATGAATTATAATCACACAGGAACTAATTAATTAACTAGGGATAAGCAGCTAGGAACCTAAGCTACATAATATACCTTTGTAAAAATTCATATCAGTCTGTTGCTAAGCGAGACAGTAACCAACAAACACAATTTCACATTTTTAAAAAGACGATGCTTAATTTCCATTAATACACAATTTCAATATGAAAAAGATATTATAATAAACTTTTAGCACTTGCGTCAATCATTCTGATTTTAAGTAATAATACAAACAGTGGAACAGACCGGGATAAAAAGCCTAGTACTATTTACTTCACTGTGACAACACACAATTATACACAAACAACCATTTGTGTATTTTATGTCTTCTGCACATGAAAAATACATTAAATATAAACAATTAGTTTTTCCCTCGCTAATAAAGGATTTGGACAAATGTACTATATTAGTAAACTTTAATGTTTTATCCTAAGAAGGATTAATACTGTATAAAAGACAACACATTGTGCATCGACATTTAATGCTATATATTAATAATCCTACTTTAAGTCAATATTATATACCATTTAAATACAGAAATTAAAGATAATAGTTAGAGATATTACTTTGACCTCTCAGTAAACATTCAGATTAAATGGTCCTATCAACAACATATATTAATTAATTTGATCAATCTATTTTGTATATCATAATAAATTGATACATATATAAAGATTTATTAACATACGAGTATTAATAATATTATTTTCATTAAAAATTAGAATATAATTTATAGCATGAATTCTTTCTATAAATATATTAAATTTTATATTACCATACTCTACACACAATATTCCAAATGGGACAGCTACAAAGAATTATAAATGTTTTTATATACTTTTATATACTATACTACTTACATTTAAATTTAAAATCTATAATATAAAATTTATCACTTACACTGCTTCGTTTTAAAAACTGCAGTCTTTTCCATTTAAATACTGCATTAGCGCAGGCCATAGTTTCTATAACATATGTAGCATTCATGAAGCTCATAAAAGCTAGGAATACCAAGGAAATTGTACTTAAACCCCATCCTGCTCGAGCAAATGCTGCTGGTAGGGTAAGAGCTCCAGTTCCAACAATTAGATTGAATATATAAATTAATCCTACCTGGAAATATACATTTGATTGTATCATTTATATGTAAGATAACGCCATTTTTACCCATATATTTTGCTAAAAATATGTTATTATAGGCTTTGTAAAATAATAATTATTATTTTTAGAATTTTCTAAGTAGTTTCAACGTTTTTAAAGAAATAGAATTATTTACCCATACAGAGTATTGATCACTAGATTCTGCGATAGGCATTCTTAATATTTTTCTTACTATCCACGGTCGACGCGGCATAACGCTAGCTTATAATGCAGCATAGCGGCCAAATTCGGCATGAAATTAACTGTAAATTTATCAATAAATTTATATTTTATTGCTTGCTATAATATATCAATTTCAATTATTAATATGGCCAATAATCTCCTTTGTATATAGTGTCTGTTTATGAAACGTCAAACGAATGACATTGACGGTTGTTAAATGATGCGTGTATTTTGAAATAAAAATATTTTGACGTCACATTTGACATTTACCAAAGATAGCTAATTAAAGGTTAATCTTATTGAATCTCCTTCGTGAATTGTGTCTTCTTCGTGCTACGTGATATTGTCAAACCATGTGCTCAACTGTCCAGTCTAAAAGTTATAAAATATAACAACACAAATTTAGTAAAATATTATACAATAAAAAATATTGTAACAGGTAATATCACTTGGTAAAAATAAAGACTATAGTGGCGAAGGTTATTTTACATTTGATTCTTTGATGACTGTATTGTACTTCAAAGATATATGTATTTATATATTAAATGTATCTTAAACATGGATACATAAACATCAAATATATGTACATATACAAAGTAGAGACATTTTATGCCGTGTATATGTTTCCCTTCATTATTAATATTAAAGCCAGACAAGTATGTGCTGGACGTACGAGCTCAGCTATTCATCGAATTCATCTATCTGTAATAAAACCTCCTCCGATCCTCGTGTAATGGCCGGTTTACACGTGTCAAGTCGTTTAGTAGTTAACTAAATTTTAACTTAATTTTAAGTGATTACTTGCGTGTAAACAGACAATTTAGTAGCAAGTTGCAAGTTAAAATTAAGTTAACTACTTATCTACTAAATTAGAATGTTTCCTATTTTTTCGGTTTAGTTGGTGGGCGGGGCTTGTCACTTGACACGTTTGGACACTTGTTTAGTTACAAACGCATAAGTAGTTTAGTAAAACGCATAAGTAATGACGAGCTAAATTTAATTTTTTTTCGTTATTTTTTGTTAAGAAGCATATTTAAAAAAATAATGCATACCTATGGAACGTAAAAAGCATGAATTATCTCGCTTAAAACAAATTTAAGCACAGAATTTACGATTTCAAAAAATATATATATTTTTATGACTGAACTAATATAATTATATAATTTTATAAGTATAGTTGTTTCAAATTATAAATATTAATAATTATTTTTATTGTTCATATTATTCTAATTTTAACATTCATTTATATTATGATTATTTAATTATAGTAGTTAATATGTGTAATTCTTTAATTTAATTTCATCTATTATAAATATTTATTAGAAATTGTATTTAACATTTTATATATATTATTGTTTTAAAGCCGGAAATGTTATTAATGCTTTGTATGCCTATAATTAATGCTTGTACTAGAATAAGTAATCTTATAATATAATAATTAAGAATGTAGGTACAATGTATTGTTGGCATATCTTGCAAATAAATAAATAAATAAATCTTGAATGAAATAAAGAGCTTCAATTCAATTCTTTTATTGAGCACAGATTACTTCGCCAATGTCACGTAGAATGGAGAAGACAACTAAAGAGCTTATCTACTTAACTACTAAACACGTTTGGACAGATAAGTCACTTAAAATTAAGTTAAAATTTAGTTAACTACTAAACGACTTAACACGTGTAAACCGGCCATAATGTATATATATATATATATGTATATATATATATATATATATATATATATATATATAGATATAGATATAGATAATATATATATATATATATATGCTACTTCAAACTAGGTCCACTGCAGATATTTGATCGTGTACTGTGTACTCGTAGGCAGTAGGCACCCACACCGGTTTTCATAGATAGTACATTTACATAAAGCGATATACTCGTATATATAGTAGTAATGAAAAAATAATACCTATTATTTTTTAATTGACTTATTTATTAAAGTTAATTTGCATATTATTGAAATTATAAAATAAACAAAATTAAAAGAATAATATAGTTGAAATATGTATAAACCAACGGACGATAATCTGGTAGTCCAATCTCGTGTGTGCGGAGCTTAATGATAAATGTACGTCTTAATTTTAATTGTTTATAATTTAAAGTTAGGCTTTATAGACCCAGGGCTGAAGCCTTTGAAAGTGGTAAAAAGTGAAAAAATAATTAGTAGGATGAAACCCATTGGAAAAAGAAGAGAATATAACAAAAATGAAAGGAACAATAATTTCTGTGGTCAGGAAGTGGGGACGGGGGGGGGGGGGCTTCTAAGGGTAAAACGGCTTATCTCGATTTCCAGCAAAACTACAAGTCCTATCAGAAATCTCTACTTTCTGATGGTGTAAAAAAAATACATTAATATGGTAAATTTTCTCAGAAAATGCAATTAATAAAGTTAATATTTAATTTGACATCTACAATGTTATGAGAAAGTTGAAGTATCTTCTTTAAATTATATGCGTAGATGCCTATTTATTGCTATTTTAACATAACTCATATACCTGAGTGACCTACGGGAAATTTTAGCCCATCAAAAGGTATTTCTTTGAGAAGTGGGGAAGGGGCTAGGAGGGTCTGGCCTGTATATATATAAAGGTATGCTAAGAAGCATAAATTATTATCAGAGCCAGGCAATATATATCGTTTTGAGGAGAAACATCTTTAAGATCACACCGAAACATACGGGTACAGTACAGTACAGTACGGGTGGGTCAGAAAAGTGGACCGTAACGAAATGGTCTATATCGTCTTACGAATAAAATGGAGCGAAAACGGCGATTTTGGTTGTTCTGCGTAGTACCCTATCCCAGCGATCCTACCCTGACGCAAAGTCAAGGTCACAACAGCGAGCTTTAAAGTTGCCGCTAACTCTGATGTGGTTTGCGATAGATCTGCTTCTACGATCAGTTTTAATTCTTTATTGTCAACTCCCTAGTTGTCTCCGGCCGTCCACGGGGTTTGTTCTGTAGGTCATATAATTTCCAGAACGTAAACGTTGGAACCAATAACGTACCTTTTTTTTTACAGTAGCTTCAGAGGTGAACCCAAGTGAAGCGAGGGTGAGCCGCTCGTGTAATAAAATTTTAGTGACTCGGAATCTGTACAATAAACAATTTTTGAAAAATCTTATTAAATAGTCATTATTATCGATACAAAGGCCTAATCTATAGTTTTAAGAATGCTTGTCTGTCTGTCTGTCTGTCTGTCTGCCAGTCTATATCTCTGAGAACCCATCATGAAAAAACCACTGAACAGATTTTGATGAAATTTGGTATGATAATGGCGTTATATTAGGTATAGGATATTTTTTAATGCAGGAAAATATCTCATCTACGAGAAATGTATACTAAACGTTAAAACGTAATTCCTAACCATACGCTAGATATTTGAGATCAAAGTGGCCAGTTCAACAAAACGCCAATTTCATATATAAGGACCTAATCCATACTATAATATTATAAATGTAAAAGTGTGTTTGTTTGTTTGTTTGTTTGTTTGTCTGTCTGTCCTTCTTTCACGTCGAAACGGAGTGACAGATTTACGTGATTTTTTGTGTGGAGATAGTTAGAGGGCTGGCAAGTGACATAGGCTACTTTTTACCGCGGGTGATTATGTCATTCCCACGGGAAAATACGTTTTAATACATTCCAAAATTACTTGAAACTTGGTGTTAATGCTCTTGAATAAAATTAAATAAATACGTGTTTTAGCATTTTTCGAAATTCACTCTATAAGGTGGTAAAATATAGAATAAAAGTTTCTATGAAACTACCTTATTAGAGATTTTTTGTAGTTTTAGCGCGAGCGAAGCCGTAGGTTCTGCTAGTATTATAAATGTGAAAGTCTGTATATGTGTGTGTATGTATGTTTGTTATTGCTGTACACTGAAATGGCTTGATGAATTTGGATACAATTTAATATACATATAGATCTGTAGTAACGCTTAGATTAATGTTAAGTACATGGAGATGCACCCTTTTTTTAATGTTGGGAAATGCATTTACGCATACCACCTGTATATACAGGTGGTTATGTGGAACTTACTGGCTAGAAAAGCCAGTATTATCCACTGACACCCAACAGAACCTCTCCCGTTTAATGGTACGACGCAGGATTCCTTACGCACTCCACCATGACGCCCCGACGGCAAGTGTACTGAAGCAGATCACACAACCAAGAAGTTGCTCCCACGGTCTATTCTGCTGTTAGAGAAGTACCCGCATGGTACACCGTGCACCGAAGTGGGCCGTCCCTGTGTGTCTCTTGGCTTCGCGCCCGGCTGGGTTGCCGGACGCTAATGAGCACCACGATAAGGTCACACAATGGGAGGAGGGGGGAGGGGTATGAGGATGCACCCTTGTTTAAGTTGTTAGCGTACTAATATTTTAAATTCTTAATAATTTGTTACTTTGTGTTAGCATATACTTGACGCCTCGATACATCCACAAAATCATAATCAATTTTGGCACGCATCTAGGCAATGGCTTGAATAAGAGCGTAGTCTTTGTTGTTGTTGCTTGATTTCCCGTGTGATATTTCATATTACCAGATTTTACTAATGAATATCTAATTGTGGTAACACTGTTAGAGGTCTATGATAAAAGATGGAGGTTCTATGGAAGATAAAAAATTATAAAATTGTTTTGTATTGCTCACATCTTAAGAATTATAATAAAAGTGATTTAAGAGACTAGACTTATAATTTATTAACCAATAAATACAACATGGTGTCAGGTGTAAACCTAGTTATTTAATAGAGTGAATAAACAGCTGTTGTGATAGCGAAAATAAGTTACAATGGAGTTTAAACCACCTGCTGAGTTATCGTTCTCGGGTAGTATTGCAGAAAATTGGAGGAATTGGAGGCAGAAATTGGAATATTATCTTTTAGCAACTGAAAAGGAAAAAAAGAAGATAAAGTTAAAATAGCAATTTTACTCAACTTGATTGGTGATGAAGGTTTGGCTATATATAATAC